ACTGGACAATGAAGTGAAGAAGAGCACGAACAGAGACAAAAGACACTTCTATGACACACAGTCAAGTGAAGCAGAACGGGCTGCAGGTAAGAGAGACCTGACAACATTGTATCAAATAACCAGGTTGCTATCTGGAAAGAGATCAACGCAGACGAAGCCAATAAAAGATGATGAAGGAAATCTGGTTACCAAAGAAGAGAAACAAAGGAAACGATGGGCTGACCACTTTAAAAAACTCTTGAATCGACCACCACCTGCAACTCGTCCGGAAATGCCACTAGGAGCCTCGCCACAGAACTATTGGTGAACACAAACTATCCGACAAAATCCCAAGTCCTGAACTCCGTAAAGTTACTGAAAAGCGGGAAAGCGGCAGGACCAGGTGGAATTCCTCCAGAAGCACTAAAAACAGACTCAGAGACATCATCAACGGACATACTCACACCACTGTTGCAGAAGGTTTAGGAGGGAGGAAGGAAAGGTACCTGACGAACAGTTGGAAGAAGGGCTACCTTGTCAAACTTCCAAAGAAGGATGACCTAAGTCTTTGCAAGAACTGGTGCAGAAGCATGCTCCACTCCAGTCCACCCAAAGCAAAATATTAAGTCACATCATCCTGGAGAGACTAAAAGATGACCTGTATTTAAAATTACGACCGGAACAGGCTTTATTTAGGAAGAACAAATCATGTGCGAACCGAATTGCGACGCTATGCATCATCATAGAACAGAGCATAGAATGGCAGTCAACTCTCTACCTCAACTTCATCGAATCAGAAAAGGATTTTGACAGCGTCGACCGAGAAGTAATCTGGCAGTTGCTTCAACACTACGGTTTTGGTGCCACAAACCCTTATCAACATCATCCAACAACTATATGAAATCGCTACATGCCAAGTAATTCGTAATGGAAAGCTCAGTGATGCCTTTGAGGAGAAGACAGGAGTAAGACAAGACTGCCTCTTATCACCGGTGATCTTTCTGATTGTGGTCGACTGCACTGGATCATGCAACAAACCGTGAGGAGCGAGAAGACGGGGAGGGGGATACGCCGTCTGACCGATGAGAAGACCCTAGGATATTTGGATTTCGCCGAAGATGACTTATGTCTAATGTCACACAAACTCGAAGATCTACAGGCGAAAACTAACAGGTTGACAGAAGTGGCAGGGCAGGGCAGGCAGCGCAGCGAAGACGGGACTTTAAGTGAACGCAGAGAAGACGGAGGTGATTAAGATACCCAACCAACAACAAGAACAATTATCAATCACTATGAACGGGAGAAACCTAAAGGAAGCTGTCTCTTTCACCTACCTAGGCAGGGCAGCATTGTCTCAACTGCAGGTGGCACTGGCACAGATGAGGACGTCAAGGCCAGGATCGGAAAGGCAAGACAGACCTTCACTAATCTGAAATCAGTATGGAGATCTACTGCACTCAGCATAAAGCGTGAACAAGATCCGGATTCTCAACATTAGTGCCGAGACAGTGCTTCCATGTGACGGTTGAGAGACTTGGCGTGTCACGAAAAGCATTTTCAACAAACTACAGACACACACCAGCAGCTACCCCCTACACTTGTTGCTGAAGATCAGATGGCCAGAAGGAATAAGCACCTAGGAACTCTGGCTGGCAGCGAACCAACGAAGCGAGGACCCACCACCCAACAAATATGCAGGAGAAAGTGGGGATGGGCGGGATTGAGCACACTTTAAGAGGACCATTCAGGGACATCACGTGCCAGGCCCTTGAGTGGGATCCAAACGGGAAACGACGAGTTGGACGTCCGAGGGTGACATGGAGGAGATCATGTAAGGAAGAAATGAGGGCTTGTGGGTAATCGTGGAGCCGTGTTGGATAGACTGCATAGAACAGAGTGAAATGGGGGCGTGCTACTGAAACCCTGTGTTCCACTGGAGACCCAAGGGACACATATTAGTAATAGTTATCTAAAACAGCTGACGGATGACCCTTCAAAGCTAGATTCTTGGACACTGAGGAATTACCTTAGCTTTAACCCGCGGTAGTACAAAGCAATGTGCCTTCGAAACTTTGAAGCTGTCGGAGTAAACTACGCTCCGAAAGGCAGAACTACTCCGTAACTGGCGAAAGGAAGGTCGGGACTTCGGTTTCCGCGCCAAAATACTCACCAGCATTGACAACAACGAAACGCTGGTAAAGGTGAAGGATACTCAGCACCTACTTCGCGCCGTTTTATCTTGAGATTATTAACACGGTAGAGCCTCCACCAACAAAGGAAAACTGAGTCTTGTGGGAAATGTGCGAAGACGTTCATAGAAGTTTTATGGAGGTTGACGCTTGTTCTACACGAATTAACCAATTCTTTCTCAGCTGCTTTGATAAAACCGGTGACCGAATAATGGCGTTTGAGATTGTTCGTCGGCCGAAACATCCAAACAAACATTTATCATCCTTATTAGATTGTTTATTTGGTATAACACGGCATAATTTACCGGACACTTCGAACAGAATTCATTGCTCGTGTTCGTATTCATCCAGAGCAAACCGCGAAAGGGTCATGGAACTCTTCAAACACAATAAACGTAACTTACACTGGGGTTCTCAGTATTGAAAGTAAAACCGCAGACCTCGAGACTGTAATCTGTGAAGTGAGTCCTGATACAGTAGTCCTTACTAAAACCCTTCCAATAAAGGGTGTATTCACATACACCCTTTACTGGATGACGATGGATGATGGCCTACTACCCTATGTTTGCAGGGACGTCCACATACGATCAGTCGCCTCCGTAGCATAAGAATACGGTACCGAAGAGGTGGCCAGTTGTGAGCAGAAGTCAAAACACGGTTTCCTTATAGTTAGGGTAATTTACCGTGGCCCATCTAGACTTGCAGATGACCTAGTGGTAACCCGCATGCATAACTGCAACAGAAGTAACAGATGCCTAATAGTTGGGAACCTGAGTGCTCCCCATATAAACTGAACGGAGAAAAAGTCTTGGCTTCTGGCAGTTATTTTGAAAATGATTTACCTTTGGCGGTACTGGAATCTGCTCCAGTAGACCAGAACGCCACTTGTACAACACGATAGGATCGCAAACAAAATTCGTCTTTGTTAGATTTTTTTAACTCAACAATGTGAAGACGTTGCGGATTTACGATACTTCCCTCCCGTAGCTAGTAGCGGTCATGAAGCGCTAAACTTCGGTTTTCGAACGAATGAATTCGCTTACGACATTGCCTACCCTTTACCTAACTCTTGACGCGCTCACACTCCAGGCATGGTGGATTGCGCAGTCGGTGACAACTGAACTGTCGATGAGGATGCACCAATCGAGAACGAATGGGATAGGCTTAGATTTCCACTTGGGGAGACAAAGAGGCCATTTATTCTATGATCGATTCCACGGAGATCTTCATATCGCCCTCCTGGGTAAGTGATTAACAAAACTGTCCTAAAAGACTGTTCGCATTCACTAGAAGGACTAGGGGAAATAGTGGAATTACATCTGTGGTGACGCATGGAAATTCCGATAGTCTGGCGGAACCCAGTCTGCCCAAAACTGAGCGCCCATTGGATTATTTTAGTGAAGCCTTTTCTGTAGGTCGTGACGATGGAGTGCTCAGTAGTGATGTCAGAACTGCCCTATTAGTGGATACAGTGCTCATAACAAAGGAAACCGTCTTACAGTTATTCATTAATCCTGAATGTTGGAAATCCCTGGGTCCCAAAGAGTCGCATTGCAGACCGCTACCTCTGCTAGCAGACATTGTTGCTGAAGCAGTCACTGATCTTGTCAAAATACCCCTATCTCAGACTTACCTCCCTAAAGACTGAGAAGATGCCAAAAGTAGCCCACTTTTTAAGGCTGGTAGTCGCCGGCTGCTGGCTAGCCAACGCCCAGTCGGTCTAAAGGGTGTAGTCACTAGGGTTTCGGGAGAATTAATCCGTCGCAAGGTACCTGAACATGTTGAGTCGGATAATCTTTTGGCACCACCGCACCACGATCTTCATGCCGGAGACTCCTATTTAGCAAGCTTCTTCTTCATGAGCGAGGCTTAGGTTGTAGTCCATGATTGCAAGCTGCCGATAGATTCATTGTTTATAGACTCCTGTAAGACATTCGGTGAAGTGTCACGTGTGAAATTACCAGGAAGGCTCTCCCTTTCCCGGTTTGGTGCCCATTGAAAGTCTGGATTTGGGACTTTTTGAATGACAGAGGGCAAAGAGTGGGGGTTATTAGCATACTGTCCGAGTGGCAACCTGTGATAAGTGGAGTTCCTCAAGGAACCATCCTGCCTCCTGTATTACGTTGATGGTACACCACCACTCCCAGTCTTTGAGCTGACAGACATGGCTGCTATCATGGTAACGATTTGAAAACCTCGACGCACTGTATCATAACTGCAGCAAAGGCCTTCCGTGTATTATGGCCCATCCACAGAGCTTTCAAAAGTTTTGATCAGGATGGGCTCAGAACGCTCCATTTTACTTGCGTCAGACTCCACTTGGAATAGTGAAGTCAGGCAGCCATCCCATGCCTAGAACAGGATACTGACGTATTCAGACGTGTTCAAAGGGTAGGTAAAAGGCTTATGGCAGGCCCTTCAAATCCGCCCTATGAGGAACGACTAGATCAGCTAAACTTATCTCCCCTGTTTTACAATAGGAGACAGGGTAATCTCATACTGGCGGTTAGTATCCTTAATAATGACTCTGGAACTGGTATTTTCTACTTTTTCTTTCCTATTGGCACTGGTTATCTTCGAAGGCATCACAAGATAACCCAAGAACCGCGATCGAATCAACTTAGCGTGAATCTGCGTTTTTCTCTTCATGTGGTCAGCGACTGGAATTCATTACCTCAACAAGTAATATCAGCACCTGTCAAAATGTTCAGGGAGAAACTAGATCCCTTAATAGATATCTTCTGCAAGGATCAATACAGGTCAACTGGTCTACTATATTTATAACTGAAAACTGAAAACCGTCTGGAGCGGAAGTCATTTTTGGACGCTACTATGCCTCAACCCTTGTTTGATAGAGTTAGTTTGTCTCTGGTTTTTATGACATTAACGTTCTGCAGATTGCCACTCTTATAAATGAGGCTTATCTGGCACATTCGTCTAGCGTTAAAGTGACTAACTTACTTCAGGTGAAGGAGTTGCTTATTCATCGGGAATGCTCTCTGTTGGATAGCTTTTTTGAGGTACTCAAAAATCTTTTGTTTGAAAAATTACATTTGTTTCAGGAAGTTGTCAAGTTTCAACATGATCCAAATTCTGAAGTAAAAAAGGCTGTGATTAGTTTTATCGAAGATGCCTGGTAGGTCATTCCACAAGTTGATCCAAGTACCCTCAGATTCTAAATTCCTTAATTTTTTGGTGTTGTCTAATGCTACCTAGTAACAAAATAATCATAAGTGCAAAACCTTGATCAGTTTCAGGACGTCATTAGGTAATGTGGCTTTCTGTCGATATACAACATAACGTCTTAAGCCCACCTTCGAAAACACCTCCCTTTTTCGTCACCATTAGAACCAGGATTTTTTTAAGATGTTTAGCTTCCCGGTTATCACAAAGTTTTGACAAGCAGTCAGGAGGTTGGGTATCATGTATTTGTAGGAGATAACTGGGTTGGAAATGTTCAATCTCATGGGCGTAGATGGTTGGGGGTATTACTCATGCCATACTAACGTCTTTCCTTATGCGTTATTTTTGGCCGAATTGAGATAAGGTTGGTGTACAGGTGATATAGGAGCAACTCAGGGACTATGCAACTGTTGTTCCAAGCCATCTACCATTGTTAGGTTTTTGATATGGAATAGGCAACCAAAATTGATTTTGAGAAAATCTAGGGGATATGGCTCTAAAGTTGACTGCACTGGTGCAAAATTATTCACGCTTTGTTCCCATCTTAGTTGTGGGAATCTTAAACTTGTTTATCTTTGCTCTTCGTTTTCTTTTTGTCTTGTAGCTTTTCACAAAAGTCGTCATTTACTTTTACTGCTTCTTGTTAATAATGGCCTTAGCGTACTCATTTAAAACCTGGCAACTTAGAACAATAAGTTGTGTTGAATCATGTATTGTTGTGTCATTACCATGCACATGATTATTCAGCCATTTCATAAGGCGGCGATAAGTGACAATGTCTAAATTCACTATATGGAGTAGAAAAGACGACTAGTTGTTAGTCTAAAAGCTGCTTTAGGACGATGTATTGTCATCGCACTTGACCTCTGAGTGTTATCGGGAAGTTTAGTATCTCTTACCATAACTCCTGGGACAGCCGCAAGATTTCTGCTAGACATTGGTTAGTATGAACTACTGATTTGCAGTAGTAAAATAATGTTCAAATCCTTTCGTACACTTTGTTTAGTCATACTTTAAGCTACCGTAATCTATTTAAATAATCAGATTCTCCTCGGTATTTGTATTGAACCAGTATGTAAATGGCTTCTCTTCAAACTAGTAGTATCTTTTTATTGGTAGAGCACTGACTCCCAAGTTTTTGAGACAATAAACGTTTTGAGAATGTATGCGATTTGGCTTAAGTTTACGAAACTGATGTATCAGCGCAACTGACGTTTAAATATTTGTTTAAATACTTAGTTGCCGTTTTGCTACTGGTTTTTTCATCAGAACACGCACCCTATCAGTAATTTCCGGTCTGGTTTTTTGTGTGGTTTTCTGCCATATTATCATAATGATGTTGAACATCTTTTCCGTGTACACCGTTTCCCATCTGTACCAATATTTAAAGATTCATTTTCTACCGAACATTGCGTACTTCACTCCTTTCTTCCACAAATCTCATACTTCAGTAAGCAATACACTAATCGTTTGCGATTTTTCATGTGATTCTGTTTTGTTTTCAGTGTAAAGCGTTGACTTTCTTGTTTAGGTGTTCGATTCCCAACCAGTGGGTCACAAGGTTGAACAACCTATGTACTAAGTTTAAAGAAGTCAGTATCAATGATATTAACATAGGTACGGCTGATGTATGTAGAGTTATATGAATCTTCAATAGCTATTCTCACTTTAGCGTCCTCCGCAATGACTTTTTGGAAAAATCTTGTTTCAGTATTTTGTAACTTCTTTAAAAATCACTCTTCTTTGTTTCATCGTGATCTCCTATCCATAGCCATTAATTTCGAAACTAGGAGAAGTTTAATGATCTAGTCACCATTCCAAGTCATCTACAACTTCATGGATATTATTCTTAGTTGGTGGTGATGATTGTGATGATAAGATTCCTGCATAAGAGCCCTGATTTTAATCTGATTAGAATATTCGTAGGAAAACATAGTAGCTGTTTAATCAGATCTTTTGCAAAGAGAAGCAATCGTTATTCATGATAAACAAACTGCCTGTAAGGGGAACCAAGTAATGTACCGCACTGTAGATGTGGACTACTTGGTTATGATCTACGAGACACTAGGGCTTCATTGACACTTTTCAGTAGTGTTATCCTCTGTCAACCGCTACTTCTGAGATCAGGAAGATTTTTATTGTTATCCGTGTTCTACCTACACCTGTATACTGCTTCTTGTTTATCCTGATTCTTTTATCACTGTAGATTTAATCTTATTGCGGCCGTCAGTTGTGTCAATGCACTTCTGCATCGACCACGAGCAGTGGTCAGTGGAGGAAGTGAGGAAAATCGAGAAGGCATCAGCGTTTGGTAACTCTCAGCAACTATCCAAGACGATGAGTGGAACTATCTTCAAAAGGGATCGGACGTTGATAACCTTCCAGAACAGGCGGCTAAAACGTTGGGCAGCACAATTCAGTTGGTTCACAGCTACGCTTCAGTTGCCCAGCCTTCGGCCTGGACCTGAATGGGACGCAGGTGTCCGTCTTTCAACTCTCCTTGAAATTGAGAAAGCTGTGTCAAGCCTAAAACAATGCAACGTGGAAGGACCTGACGGTTCGCCACAAGAGATTTTTAAGGATGGAGGTAGGAAGTTACTTAGTGGAGTGACGAATACACTAGATAACGTATGAGAATCAGAGGCAGTCTCGTCAGACTGATCATCCTAGTCTGTAAGAAGGGAGGGAGATCTTGTGATAACCCAGTGGTCACTGACTCGAGTCCGGCCGCAGTCCAGATTTAAGTCTCACCTTCAGTCACCACCCAGTATAAATACCAGTCTACCAAACTATGGCTATCTCAGATAGTCAAATGATAGGGGAATTAGTTTGACTAGTATTGCGTCCAAGATCCTAGGGTTCATACTTATCTCTCGCCTAATTGGAGCTCGAGAAGAGCAAACTCAAGAAAACCAGACAAGTTTGAAACAGATGTGGAAGAGGGTCCATTGATCATATTTTTATCCTCTGGCAGGTTCTGGAACACAGGCATACTTATAGGCCAGTGGTCGGCACGTGCATATTTCTTGACCCGAAGGCGGCATTTAACTCTAATTATCTTGAGGTGTTACTACAGTGTCTGACTGTGGAGGGAGTACCGAGCAAGTATATAATGTTTAACAAAGCTCTTTACTTAAACTCAAGTAGCCGTGTCAGGACTTATGGAGAGTTGCCATCAGAATTGAAGACAACTAATGGTGTCCACCAGGAGTGTCCACTGTCACCGTTGCTATTTAACTTCGTCATAGACATAAAGTTAGGTACGTCTGACCACATGGGTTGACCTACTCCATAGAGATCATGGGGTTGACTCGGATGGAGTATGCAGACGATATTGTCCTACTAGGTGATACTGACAAAATGTAAGATTTTCTGGATGTGTTGAGCAAAAACCTGTTTGGCATGCGTTTCGCTGGCACTTGTCAAATGTAAGATGATGCTTCAGGACTGGTCTTCCGCAAGTACTCCCAGTTTAATAATAGGGAGTGAAATGGTGGGATGTGTTGACCACTTCACTTATTTGGGAAGCTGCATCAGCCCGAACGGGCTTGTTGCTGACAAAATCTCAGCTCGGATACAAGAGGCTCGTTTAACGTTTGTCAACTTGCATCATGTGGCGTTGGCAAGATATCTATATATCAAAGGACGAGTATATTGCGCTGTCGTCCATTCTATCCTATTGAACGGCTGAGATATCGCCGTCAACAGTAGAATACATGAAGCGGTTGCAGATTTTTGGTCATAGGTGTCTTCGTTACATTGCTCGCATTTGGTGAAATCATCATGTAAGGAAGGTTGAAGTTAGGGGAAGGGTACTAGACAAGATAGGGAAGTAGATGGATGGGGTTAGAAACCTTAGTTGACTGATATAGCTTGAACATATACTGCGCATGCCGAGCAAGCCACCGCCTTCTTCAATGTGCCATGTCAGGAAAAGCTAGGAGAGGGTTCAGGATGGCCAGACTAACACCTGGCACCAGTCCATGAAGTACTTGACTGTTAGTTTGAGCCGTGTGGGGAAATGCATACTGCCTGACTCGGGTCCGTGAGACAAAAGGAATCAATGGTTGAGGAATTTCGGTGGCGCCTGGGGATCGATTATATTGGAGCAGATGCATTCACTCCCTGACATCTGCAGCTTGAATATTCTCAGTAACATTTATTTTCAGATTGTTTGTTTTCTCATACTACTTTATTCACTTTGACCACTCATTTCCTATCCACCTGTTCTTTATGTACTACTGTGAAGTATGGTAGCTTGAGCCAATGCACCTGGGTGAGAGGTTCTATGTTGATTTTGTCAGTGGCCGTCACTTCCGTTCAAAGTTCTTTGTCTGTCTGCTCATGTTTTATGAATAGTTTTTCAAATGTGTTCTTATTTCAAAATCACAAATACTTTTTGTGTTTTACATTATCTCAAGCGTTAGAAGTCAATTTATGAGGGCAATAATGCGCGAAACTCGTCAGATTTTAGTTATCTAGCTGGAATCATTATTCTGCTAAGCATACATTAATACTCTGACTGCTACTATTTTCAATCTACCCTTGTTTTGGATTATTTTACTTTAGATTTTGGACTATCAGGTGATAACTCAGGAAAAGACACTTATTAAGAATAAAACAGAAAAAAGCAGAAATCATCAAATGCTTTACTCAGGGTTCCTTAGTTGCATTTATTGACTGAAGGACTTGACTTTCAAGCGGTGGGTTCATAGTCTAAATCTCCCTCCACCTATTTTAGGTTGGTCGATTGAGTAGTATCATAAGTTCTCACATAAGGCACTCAACTTTGGACTAGTGGGTCAGAGGTTCGAAACCTGTTTCAACTACTGAGGTCCGAACAACTAGGTAGTATTGTCAACCCTCAAAATGAACTGGGCTCACTGCTTAGTGCATAAACCTCGTAGTTACTGAAAACGGACGTTCCCACGAAAGCCCGTTTCTGCAGCTGGTCACATTTGCAATCTTACTTTTGACCATAATTATTAACATCTATAAGTAAATGTTAATTGTAGAGTGGTTTCTATTAAGTTTTGAGGAGTAAACTGTTTTGTCTATATATGGAAAAACGTAAATTTCAAATTAGTTTTTAAAGTGACTGGTCTACAACTCGGCGGTGCTATTCAATCTGCTACAAAATCGTGAGATACTATCATTACATCTAGGGAGTATAAGCAATATGAAACATCCTTACCACCATTTCCTTTTGTGGAATCATTATGTGAAGAAGGTTACCAAGCTACTATTATATATGGTTTTCAAGTGGCAAGTGGTTGGACGTCTTTCAAAAGCTAACTAACTCGCTACCTCGGCACAGTGTTATTCAGGTTAGATGAAATCTAGAGAGAACTCTTAAGTGATCATTTCAAGGAATGATAAGACCATGGTATAACTGTCATTTCATCTGAACCAGTTGTATGACTATTAACTCTGTGACATCAACCTTCTTGATGTTTTCGAGTCCCATCTTAGGGTTGTTGTTCGTCACATCACGCGAATTTTAGAAAACACTAGTGTTTGGACCTAGCTTATAATACTTAATCTCATTTGACGGGTGCATCATAAGACATACGAGCCATCAAAGTGAGTAAGCTACCTGGTCAATACTATGAACATATGCACGTAATAATCCATCAAACCAAGGTCCCACATTTTTTTGCTATTACGATCTGCTTGTGTTGCAGTAGGAAATTCTAGACTTTCTATTTGGGGCATCCCAAGAGATAGTAGATAGTTTGAGACTTCAGGGTACATAGGCTTTAGTCGATCACAACAGAGCTAATGTTTTCACTCTTTGTTTTCATGTAATTAAGTGTATTTTGGTTGATATAATCTCATCCTTGAGAGTCGAAAAGTTGCACCTAGTTTTATGTTTTTTTCATGTACTTTCTTAAACTTATGTTCATGGGTTCTTTTATTTGATCTTATTGTCACTTCTTTATGTATATAACACTTTAGTGAATTTGATTCATCAAAAAAATAAGTCAGTAGTATTTCGGATGAGTGCTACACGACACATCTGTGAACTTCCAAGGGGTTTAGGGGTTACTACTCTGTGTTGACCAATGCCAAAAAGAAATAGTTTCTGTATAACGATCAAAGATTAGTATGTTCATTCTTCTCGTTTTGTGGGGACGTGGCTTATGAACTTGGAAACTCAACTATTAAGAGATGGGTCCCAGATTTGAACTTTGCCCCAATTGTATCCATCCGGGAGACTTCGTACTGTCATTATACCCTCTCACAATAGGTGGTTTATAGTCTAGCAGGTTGAAATTGTTCTCACAGTGCTTTTCTTAGGTATGAAAGAAACAGTTAATGGTCACCTTTTATAGTCGGTGCTAATATAAGAATGACTCGTCGGTAAACGATTGAATGCAGGCAAGGTAAGTGCCGGATGTATTTTTCATCTTCACTGCGCATCTGTTATAAAAGGAATGTCTTGCACAAAATTCTTCGCATGTTAAGTACCGCAGTTAATAATGTTGATAAATTCAACTAAATCTGTGACTATATCCTTGACTTTATATTTAAAAGTTACGTGCTTTCCAAGTTAGTATATATATATTCCATTTTTCAGCCGCGTTGATACCGGTCTCTTAAAAGAGCAGTGGGGTCCCTTTTTTATCTGTTTTCCACGGCGATACAACAGGAACCCCCGTCTGTTGGTTTGTTACGATGCCTTATGGCAGCAATGATTCCAATATATCGAACTGCGTTATCACGAGCCGTCAGGGTTGGAATAGTAGATTCTGGTATTTCAGTGGGTGGTGGCAGTGGAATAATCGCTAATTCAACAGCTGATATAGCTCTGGAAACCTTTCGAAGCGTTGCTGGGCTTAAAGATGAAATTGTTCGGTTGATGTTGCCATTGGAAGTTTCTGGGACGTCGGTTTTTGGTCAGTATCATGCTTCAATCTCTAACGATGCAATACGAATCCAAGCAATCAGTCTCATTGAAGTTAGTTCACTTTTTATTTCGTCCTCTGTACTATTTTCCTCTCAGATTGTATGTACACAACCAATCACTGGTGGTAAATGACCCCCAAGATGACGTTTTCACTAGAACTTTGGTTTGATCGTCTGAATGTTACTAACGAAAGTAAAATAAAGTTTCAAACTGAATTCTACCTTTTCTTCTAGCTTCTTGTCACTTGAGCACCTACCTGTTTTTTGTTCCTTAATTATGTTTCTAATTGCAAAGTTTGTTGTCATTCTCCGGGATTCGATATGTAATCATGAACTTTTAGATGCCAGAATAGACGAATTCATCCGAAAGACTTCAAAAATTACAACTCCAACTGCATACAAAACTATGAAATATGCTATAAGTTAAACTTATGTGAAGGCTGTTTACTTGTTCACGCTTACTAATCTCACAATAATGAACGGGTTCCCAACCTCTAACTAAGTAGCCGGAGTGCACACATCACTAAGTCAAACCAACTTCATTAGCAGTGTTTTCATAACGAAAAAACGAAGGACAAATAGGAAAACTTACAGATGAAACAATTGCCATCCTCTTTTCTTCCTTACACTTTTGTTTACTTGAGTGCCACACGTTTCCTATCCATCTGTTTGTAAGCCGTAGTAGTGTGACAACTTGAACTAACGTATATTCTCTGGTAGGTTTTCTGCTAATTAATATTTAAGTTATAAATTCCTGGTAACGTAATTATTTAACACGTAGTTGTTTATGGTAAACATTATAGTTGTCACAAGATAAATGAATACACAAGTATAATACCCCTGGGTATTTTTCAAACTTTAGTGTGTGATTATTCTGCATTCGCGTCGGTTGCCCAACTCTGAAATACCACCAGCCAATGAGGGTGACATTTCCTTGGATCAAATCCCGGTACTTACCAATACTCAACTGCAAGCTATCCTAGAAGCCAGTACAGCTGCATCTTCAGCCACACTTCTTCCAGGTGTTTGCTTAGTTAGACCTCATAGATTAGCTGAAGAAGCCGAACGTTTGTTTATCGGATTATCAAGTTGGCCAGTGCGTGGGAAACCTACTACAACTTCTGGATCAGTCACGTGCCCAGTTCTTGAAGCAGTAATGGATTCTTTGGTAAATATTGCAAGACAAAGGCCTCAGTTTATGGATCGTGTTGTACAGGCGTTCGAAACAGTTCATGGTAATTACATCATTTCACATGTTCCACTTTTTATTTCGTTTACTCTTGCTAGTTTGCATTCTTTTTGCATGAAATCACTCTCACACAAAACACTCCAGAGTAAGACGCTTCTCAATTTTAAATGCTAAAAATGAACATTTCTGATGTATGAGTTAGAGTGCATGGTATTGATTATTATATCGTTTCCCTAAATGCCTTAGCATGATCAAGGGTGAGTAAAGTCAGCTGTTCTGGAAATCTTGTCATCCCATCGTGCATTCATAACTTCCATCACTGCCTTGCCACGTTGAGGGTATCCCTACCAAAATGAGACGGCAAAAGCGAATGCTATGTGTTTGTCACCCAATTGGTACGAGATGCCTACTTCAAGGGGATGAAAAACCTATTTCAAACGCACCGGTGAAAGGAATGACGTATGAAGCTACATTGGTCACTAACAACCAAGGGAATGCAACTTATAATATTTCTCTTCTACTTTGTAGGCTAAGCTTGAGGTCAATAGCTTAGTGACGGTTTCTTTAAACAACCACCTGCTCCAGTCTTTTCACGCAAGCATCATCTCAGTCCTTCCCCCTCTATGAACCATAGAATAGTGTTACGAACCACTTATTCTGCCTCACTTACCTCTGGCACATCTATTGATAACATTGTTATACGGAGTTTATATTTAATAAATAAACAAACATTGTTTCGTAACTGACCAATAAAAGTAGTAGTATTATATTTGTCATTGTATTTAATGAATATTAGTAAACTATTTGCCCCTTTTTTCCATTATCATATATATAGTAACTTTACCGCCTCATTTCTCGGATAATCAAGTTAGCTCTGTGAGAAAGAAGTTGAAAAATGGTCTTTTACAATTACTAAGACATCCAGCAGCTGTATCAGATTTCCAAGGTCGAATAACTATATTACTCACAGATCTCGGTGCTACTCAAGTGGAAGTAAGCCCTGTTAAATTGATAAATATTATGTAAAACGTGTGCTTTACATGTATCGTCATTTCGTGTGCATATGTGGTTCATTTTTATGTATTTTGAATATGTGGGTTAGCAGGATAGTCAAGATGTATGCGCCACTAGGTAGGAAGAATTAATTATTCAGTCTTCACTTTTGACGATTCCTAACAGAATGCAGACTAATGTTGTTCGTTTGACGTTTTACTCATTTTTTCGTCAAGGTATTCTCATTTTGAAGGTAGATTTTGATCCTGAACTGAAACAGAAACCAAGGCCACTGAACAGGTTTTTATTTTTCATCTATGATACTGTAATACTCATATTCCCATCGCTTCTGAGTTCAAACCCAACTTTCAGCTATTACAGTCAGCTGGCTACGGTTGAATCACTGAACTGGGATCAAAAAGCAGAGTAGCCTTACCATCCTTTAGATTTATAAATAAATAACTGTCATTTCTATGAAAACAATCTACCCCACATTTCATGGCTAATTAAAACCTTTAATAATTTTCGTTCACATGGAATTCACTGATGACCAGTGACAGAAACAATTATCCGCGACATGCGTGTATGCACATGTGAAGGTGTGGCTGATTACTTAGGATCTCGACTTCCGGTTAGTGAGTTTCAAAGTTGCTCCACCTACTTTGGTGTGGGCGAGTGGTTAGTATCCTAGGCTATGGCTCATTGGTTTACGGAGATGACTTCTAACCATTTGGTCACGGGTTTAAGCTCCGCTCCACCTACCGAGGTTTAGGCATCCAGATAGTAGTATCATTAGCCCTTGAACAATAAGTGTGGTTCATTGCCTACTGCACGAATGTGCACGTGGTTGGTGAGTGCATAAAAAAGTTCTCACAGAACAAATGTGTCTCATAGCCTAGTACATTAACATGCACGGGCTGAGTTACATGTAGACATGGAAAAAGGGGTGGGATGGAAAGCGAGCAGTTTAGAGAGATATCTAGATCTTCAATGCATACTGTGCAATTTAATGGTGATGTACACATGTAGATGTATAAGTACGCACTTAGTAGCTCATATTTAAGCGATTAGATTGATGGGTATAGCTCAGGAATTTAGAGTTAAGCATTTGTTTTTATTTTTCAAATATTTTCAGTACAAGCGTCACTAAGTCGTGATAGCTGTAGTGTGACTTTCAAATCCTGTTGATCGTTACTTTTTCTTATAAATTAGGTTCTACAAGCATTGCAAAGCCATACGGAGTTGTCTCGTTCACGCCTTTATCCCGATCCAAGTACATTTATGATTAGTCGTCCCGATCCAGATTCTTTTGACCATGGGGATGTTGATATGAGACAACAGCATCAAACTATTCCGCCCACTACGCAAACTTCGTGCTCTGCTCCTGTGACTGCGTGCAACATACCTGTGCCGGAAAGTACACCATCATTCACCACTCAGTCTCAAGTTTCTTTGACAGTAACGACTACAACTACAGTCTCGTCTGTAGACTCTTCACTCTCGATTTCCGGCAAATCACAAGCAGAATCTCAGTTACCCACTACTACACCAGTAACGCCAAGTACTGCTTCAACAGTTGTCCAAAAGGATCCACCTATAACCTCGAGTGGATTCACGTTAGCGGAGGTAACATTTTACGAATCTTATTTCATTTGTACTTTACATCCTTAAATAGTAATTATATATTCACCACTGATTATCACGGCTATTTCTTCAATGGACAGACTAAGCAGTATAGAACTTCGTACGGTGTTGTACTGGTTCAAACTGGATTCTTCAGCACGACAAGTGGAAGAAGTCAGCAAAAGAAGAAAAGCATTAAAATGAGTCAAAAGATAAACATCATGAAAAAAAACATGTTGACGTGTAGTAATGAAGCACTCTGCCATTGCAACTCACTTATATCCATGTCATACAGCGTCTCTTGTAAAGCCTTATTTTATTGGTTCGGGTGTCTAACTACCAACCCCTAGGGTGTCAGTACAAATACACTGTTTCCTACCTGGACAATAGGTAATGTCACTAGCCTAGTACACAAACCTGTATCAGGTCGTCAAATTGAATTACACTCAGGGTCTCCATACAATGTGGCATCTTGTGAGAGTGTAAGGGTAAGTGGTAGCACGACATGCTAAAAACATGCTGCAGCCATCTCGATTGGTTCAGTTTTCTAGCATTGTCATGTAGCCTTGTTTCATCGAGTAACTCTACTCCTGGTTTCATCACAGTTGAGTCAAAAAATGCCTCAAAGATATCCATAATTGGTCACTTATAGTATTCTGACGTTTTCACTACCATAATTAGCTAAGATGAATAAACAATCAAACTCCCTGTAACCATAAAGAGATTTCATTGGCTACCTGCCGACTGTAGGCTGGGTTTACCTCATTAAGTAAGCGATTTAATCAGTACTCTGAAATGGCCCACTCTACTTATAAACTATACATTGGTACAGAACGGTACTGAAGAGTGTCATTCCACAACTGCAAAAATCATGCGAAAAATTCTCAGTTTCGTTCAAGGCGTTTATAAAACCATTTGTTAGCATCCTCGACTAACATCTCTACTTTGACTACATTTTTAAGTTGATCAGGGGTTCTCTCAAGTACTATTCCCCCGAAAACCAGAGACATAGAAGTCACTTTCAGCTTAGTTATGACAAAAGTGAGTAGAAACTGAGTAGGTGAACGCTCTTGCTGAACACTGCTTGCTCTCACCATATCTACTGATGCTTCATTATAAGCTGCATGCGATTAGGTTAAATTAAACAGATAGCTTTCAGTAGTTAAATGACTCTTCTCCATCCATCATTCTTATCACATGTTGTGTGAACTATTAAGTAATCATTTCTCCTTGTCAACTACGTCCTTACCAACCACTTAGCTTGCATCATTCTGTTTAGTAAGTTCTGTCAACTACTAACTTTCTTACTGGCATTACTGTCGATGACTCTTTCCCACTTCTTGCGAAGACTCAGTTTGTAATTCAGTTGCTTTTAGCCTTTGTGCTAGGTGTTGTGCTTTGATTAATTCAGACAAAGCTTCTGATGACTGACTTTTTAAAGTTTCAACCGTAGGTTACCTGCAGCTTTTTATTACAGTAAACTGAGTTTGACACGAAATTACACCACAATGATGACTGTCTAGCTGGTTGCTTCTAAAATATTTCCTCACTAACTTCATCCTAAACTTTACAGTGTTTTTTGTATGATCAGTCAGGTGACTTGATGTCAGTAATGATGAAACGAAATATCTGTCCCTTATCTTGAATTTGATGATAGTGACAAGTGTTTATCAGAATTAAATCACAGCAAACAGTCACGACTATCAGCTTGCTTATCTGGAGTTTCAAGGATCTCTTGAATGTATCTCAATTCGACTCAGTGTTTAGACTACCAACTACCAAAACCTCTGCTATACGTCTTGTGTTTGAGTAGAGTGCATTGCATTACAACGCTAGCTAAATGGAATCAACTGAATAATTACTCTCAGATGTTCAGGGTAAACACTGCCCTGAAAATGAAGTACATCCGCAGTGCAGAACATTAAAGTTTTTGACTAATGATGTTTTCTGTTTTTGTAAGATATATGTTGCCGAGTCTGAAACATCCAAAATATTTTTGCAAGTATAACTGCAACGGACTATAGGTTCTTTTACATAGATTCGAACCTTCAACATAGTTTGCTGATATCGAAGATAGGGAATATGAAAGTCATAATATTATAGTAACGCTAAGAGGTAACAGAAAGAATGAAAGAGAGGAGAATAATCCGGATCACAGATCATAGAATTATTGTGTTACGTTTGATTTTTCTTGTTCACACCAAGTCGTTATCAATTTTGTGAGAATAAAAGTACTCATGATCATTGTTTCACCTGTGACTAGCGTTTGTTGAAGATAAAGATATGTCAATCCGCAGTAGATAATGATGCATGCATTTCCTTGTGAATATAATGATTTTCTCTTCGTTTTTACCGTTGCTATTCTGGTTGTTTTATTTTAAAGGCTGAAGCAGCTCTCAGATTTGATGATGACGACGATGATGAAGATGACGATGACATTCAAATACCTCGATCATCTAGACGTTTAAAGAAGAGAGCACGTTCTTCTATTTCAACAACTAACAGTGGCAGTAAACTTGCAACTTCAAAATCTGGTTCTTTGGATGTTAAAGGCCAGTTGACAACTATGCCTGAAGTCGACCTAATCACATCACGAATAGTGCCTAAGCTAACGACAGCTAATGTTGCTGACCTAGTTTTACTCAGGTAAGCGTATATAGAATTTTTTTTGGAAAGATAAGAACAAATTAGTTTGTTCGTGTAAATAGGGTTAACATGTGTGTTGTATTGGCAAACCATTCCAAAGTAACGCAAACTGAAAGAATTCAGAAGATACCAGGAGAAATGTTTTCGTAATTGTTTGTTCGAAAATATATCCTCAACTACTGTTACCATGTTTGGTAAACCAATGTTAGCTGTCAAATACTACTGAGATATCCACTTTGAAAATGTATAAATTTGTTATTGTACAACTTTGAGAATGAAATCAACGGGAAGAATCTCTTCGTTGAAGTACCTGTTCTTCTAAATTTATTGTAATCAAATTAAAACGAATGCTTACACAAAATGATATGATTTTGAATCTTTGATAATATCTAAGCGGTTATTTCAGATAGTAATTTTTCTGAAAATACTACCAAAATGTAAAAATGATATCGCTGTATGTAAACATTCATTTTAAATTTATTTATAGTAAGTTAGTTGACTCTGCGGCGTACCGATTCTTCATGGATTTACTTATTCCTCCTCTTCTTTCATATTCTGATGGGTATCTAACACATATTCAAGAAATTTCACACACTCAACTTAATCCTCACACCTCTGAGGAGTCCCACACTAAGACGAAACAGGTTTTCAGTGGTTCTGCAACGGATATCAATCCGTGATAAATATTACTTTAAAAAAACTTTTTTGTCAGTATTTATCTTTCTAAAGGTTAATGACTTAAAGGGCTGATATTTTTCAGTCTTTCTGGAGGGCTATATGGAGCTGTGATTCCTTGATTGTCGTAGAGGTTCTCGATCATCAATCAGTAGGTTATGGGTTCGAGTCTCGTCCCACCTCCAGAGGTCGGAACAGCTAAATATGACTTACTTCGTTATTGAGTTGCATTCCGATTTTTTCTAAAGAGCTATTTCTAACTCACATAGTGATTATAATTAGGCTAGTTTTTCTATTCAAATCACTAGGAATAAAAAAGTTTAACGATTCTGTAAATAAGTCTATCTCGAATAGTTTTATTTGAGAAATTCTAGGATCCTTATGCCAGTAGTGGTAAGACTGAATCAAGTTTAAATTCAAACCACTTCAAATCTCTGAGCTGCTGTTTCGTTGCTCTATCAGTAATAGTAATAATAAGAATAAGAATAATATAATAATAATAATAATGCTTTGTTTCGGACCATAATTATATTTACAGTACAGAATGTTCAGCATATGATACTGCATTAGTTTACCCGTTGTGCAACATTTTTCAAATATATATTAAAAATGGTGCTGTTTAATGGCATATAATAGAGAATAACATGATTGTTGAAATGTTTAACAACCAACTAATATCTACTAATGTGCACCGCGATGCTGAGCCTCCTAGCTTGGTGGCCACACTGCAAATGTGATCGATAGGATTCACTCTGCACTCAGGACTAGACAATATCAAATTGGTTGTTTTCCCGTGACCAATCAGTGCTTGTAACCCAGTCATACAGGAAGTCAGTCGCTGACTACAACACTGGGTGAAACGGATTCTAATCTCAGGGGGGAACCTCAGTTCCGTCGAGGTTGCAGATACGCCTTGCTGACAAGTGTCAACAAACACGAGACCTAGGTCCAGGCTTCCTGCCGATTGCCTTCGATCAATTAACATGTTTAACAACTTCACGGACATGATAACTGTCCGCTATTGCAAAGCTGATTGATAAGATTTTGTCTGACATGATTTTCTTCACACGATAAACAAACTAGATGTGATATGTTTGGATTTTCATATGTAGTTGTGCGTGCATAGAGTTTAATATATTTGCTTTTGTTTTCCATGAAGACACCTGAAGAGAGGTGCAGATGCAGAGGATGGTTGTCATCAGATAAAATATTCTTAGCCAGCAGTCTACAAGAGTTTAGATGCCTATTCATGACAGCACCTATCAACACGGCTAGTGGCGTACCACTCGCTTTGCAGCCGTCAAAATCCTACGCAATACAACATAGTCTTTTTTCAGAGTCCCAGAAAGAATAAAGGGGAATAATAAGTAAGAATAGGGAAATCACAGGAATTTATGAAACGTAAGAGTAGAGGATGAGTTAATCCAAACAGTATGAGTTTTTTTTCCTGGAAACCATTCAGATACAAGGGGAGCAAAAAAGATCGAAAGAAAAGCTTAAGCCAAGATAGATCGCGCTTGTTACATTCTTTAAATAGAGCCATCTTTGAGACAGGCTTCATTTCTGAGTTTACTCTTGCCAGTAAGATAATTCAAAAGTCTCCTTACCTTACAAGGGTTTTTACATGACATAATCTTCCGGTTATACATCAAGTCTAGGCATTTTATTTCAGACTTAATCAGGCAGTTAGGTCGTTTATCATCAAAGAATCGTTTGCTGAGTACAGTTTTTTCTTTCTCTGTTCTCAGTCTTTTTAATTGCGGGGAAGAAAGTCTATCAAACCTTAAAAAAATTGTTTCAACTGAGCAGCAAATATCAGGGCAAAATTTAAGATAGCATGTAAAAGCATCAATTGTGTCATTCAGAGCATCATTTTCATATATTCCCCACTCTGTGTTCTGTAGCATGCATCTACGTTTATGTATATTGTCGTATGTAAAGCTCCTGTGTATATTCTTCTTAGATTGGTATGTAAAAGTATTTTTCTGCAGTTCGCCATATATTTTCGGCAGAACACTTATAATATAGTGATGTGAGCTCAGGAGTGGTGCACGTTTTTGGGTTTCTTATGTACCACGTTCATTAACGAAGACTAAGTCGAATGTGACATCAAAACGAGTTGAAAAACTGACTAGGTTACTGTGACCAAGAGAACACAGGAAATTGCAGTCGCAAGAGTTGAAATCACCACAAACGGTAGACAATGAATCAGGCATTATCAGAGCAGCAAATTCTGTGAATTTACGAGCGAATCTGGATAATTCAGAATAGCTGCAACCAGGAGTTACGTAAACATTGGTGATGTAAATGAATTTTAATTTATCTACATGTTTTGGACGACACTTAATGGTGGTACAGTTCATACTGTTATTAGAATAGGCGAAACATGTATAATTTGATGAACGCCCTTGAGTGTTGATAAAGGTAGCTACACCTCCACCACTCTATTTCGTAGAACTACACCTATACTGGCGAAACATTTTGAAACCATTTAAGGAGACTAAATTGTCATCATATAGGTTGTGCAACCAAGTTTCTCTCAATGTTATTACACCAGCATTACGATAAACATTAGAACATAGGACGCATTGCCAATAGTTTACCTTACCTAGTACAGGTCTGCAGTTCGAGCTGAATATGTCTGGTAGTGTCATTCGATGCAGTTTTGTTCACTTTAAAGTGCTCTGTCATCCATCATGATTTCTTTTCCCAGTTATATTTGTCAAATTCATAGTGGTAGGTTAATAACTTTTTTAAAGTTCACGTGAGTATTTCACACCATTTAAGGTCATATTTAGACAAATTAAAACAGTGAACTTGTTGTAGTATATAGGACAGGAAGTTTTGGCAACTCAGGCTTTAAGCAGGCTGCCAATAGGTAAGCCTCGAGACTTGACCGATAACCAAATATAGCTGTTAAGTGACTTATGAAGCATATTTACCCACTTGCTGTTCAGAGATCTAACTGTTTACTTCTCATTCTAACAAATAATAAGCTGTGGAAATCGTGTTTATAAGATTGATGATGTCGAATTTCGAATGCAACTCATAGTTGCTTTTTTTAATTCGTAAGCTGAATTGAAAGTCGTCATGCACTCAACAACCATGTGTACATTTGTTTAATAGAAAATGAGCCTAACTTATTATATGAAGGTTAATGATATCATCTAGCTCTCCAAACCTCGTTAAACTAAGTGGGGTTCGAATCCTTGGCCCAGTGGTTGGAAGTCGAGTGCCTAGACCAATGAACAACAGCTCCACAATTCGAAAGCCGATCACTATTTCTGTGCTTTCAATTTACCTTACTTTCGAGCAACTTGTTCAACATTTTGCTCCTTCATTCTCACGTTTTTCTATGCCTAATACTTTAGCCTTATAATGCTTTTTAATTTTATAGCATGGTCACTTTACCGGATCAAATGCCTGCTTCATTCCATTCAACATATACACCAATAGCAGCTGCTGGGACATCAGCTCAGATTCGTCATTTAGCACGTATGCTTGCTGTACAGTTAAATGTATGGGCCTATGAAGGTAGTCATTACGAAGTGGTGGACAGGATAAATCAGTTAGAGTTACTATTAATTCCTGTTGATGAAAACGGAGATGAACAAGTCACTCGTAAACGTATTTCAAAGGGTGAGGCACGTACTTCGGAACAAGGTGGTGATATGCAGAAAGAATCGGTTAAATCTAAAAAACGGCGTTTGGTAAGTTATTTAATTTATAAGCTGTTACTATCTTTGGCAATACTGAAGTTCAGCTTTCACCTGAAAGCAAAAGTTAGGAACACTAACAAACTTTAGGCAGATTTATTAACATTAGAGCAGTAAAACTGATTGATGTGAATGAGCTTCAGCAAAATATATCATGCTTAAAAAATATTTTGGTCTGTATTTTGACATTGAAAACGCTCCATTTCTATATGAGTTGTCTCAGTAATTTTTATTACTTCCTCGGGAAAACCTAATTTTGCCTAATGTGGAATTCGCTCACTCCTTTCACGTAGTTAGAAACTACTCACAATCTTGACATGCCATATCAACAAGCATTCAACACTCCTACAGTAGTAAACTGTAAAAGTGGTAAGGTAGGCTATCTGAATTTTCGCACAGCCTCTTGAACATCTTTTGGATCACCGATTCATATCGGTCGCGCGAAAATATGACTTATCGCTTAGGACCCCAATGTGAACGGTGGCAAAATGTTGTGTGGTATTCCTGAAGGTTCGATAGTCACAAACATCAGTGGAGATGGAAGGAGAAGGGTTTTTTGATAATTATCCGAAATCATTTTGACTATACCATATTTCTAGAAGTAAAGAAATATGTGGTAGTAGGACAAGCCAAAGTAGTAGCGAAGTCTTCGCTCATTTATATGGACCTAACAGATCAAAACAGTCAACTCTGCCTACCGTAAACGGATCTCCCAGATAAAACCAGGTGTAGGACTCTGTAACTATACTGCACGATATATTTTTATTGATTGGGAACATCAGTGTTCGAACAGCTTTCTAAATTATTCAGTAATATTTTGTTAATGTGAGCAGTTCCCACTTGATTAGATAGAATAATACTACCGTTTCCATATTCAGAGAAGATTCACTGAATTTTATATTTGTATCTCTGCATATTATTTTCCTACATTTATTGTATATCGTTAATTTTCCCATTCAAGAATATGTTGAGTGATCATGCTTCTGCTGAAAATGATCCTGAAGCTGAAGATGCTTTAATTCGCGCTAATGCTGCTCGTAAAATGCATAGTGCGCAAACAATGAATATATCTACTCTAGTTGGATATAATACACAGCAAATGGTCACTGATTCTGTAGATATAAACATGCCTCCTCCTGGTGTACCTGGTCTAGTTCCTATGTTTCATGGTGTACCTCCACCAACTTCCCTAGCATCCCAAAATTCAATGTCATTACCTCCGACAGTTCCAAATATGATGGTTCCTAGTTTTAATCCGTCTCAGCCACCGCCTCTGTTATTGCCTATTATGATGCCGCCTATGGTTCCACCACCAACACCATCAACTCCACAAGCTCAAGCAGCAGTAGGTAGTGTCGGAGGTACTATTCCTTTCAACCAGTATACAAATTCAAGCGTACCTATACCCTTAAATACTATCTCGCAACCGGATATGATTGGTAAGTTGTTATTTTCATGCACTTATCACATTTTGATTTTCGCTTCTCGCCTTGATGATTAGATTACTAATGTTAAAGACTTCAGTTTTTCGACCACTGCCACCTTCGTAGTATAGGCTCCGTGTCGTGGTGTCACCACACTAGTGATGTAGAAGGCAGACGCAGAGTTTTGAGCAGAAGAGGAAAGTCAGCTGATAAGGTTGTGAACACTCATCAACTCAGGTGACTTGGACATGTTTTACACTTGCGTAGTCATCGTCTTTGTATCATCACGCTTTTTTAGCTGAATTAGGTTCAGGGTGCTAAAAGGTTACAGGCAGCCAAACTCAAATATTGGATCAGTAAATGAAGTCTTTGACTGTTGATCTGAGTCATCTAGCCAAATGTAAATCTCCCACTTTGTGTGCATGTAACAAGCGAAATCATTGGTTATGAGACTAGGCGACAAAGTCAGGATCAACATCCGAGGCACTAACTGTCACCCAGACTTTCATCATTGTTTCATCACTTCTTTTCATAACTTTTTACCACTTGACTACTATTGTCCTCATTTCTATCTTTCATGTGCATGCCTTCTACCTCGATTTTCTGATATGAAGTGTAGCAATTTGGACTATTACACAGTAATGCCAGATTCCACGTTGATACTGATTAAGTAGCTAACTACTAGTGATATGATATTGGATAGCAGTGCAATTCTTCCTTCGTAAACGTAATAGTCACCAAGGTTTCTTTCTAACTACTTTCAAGCACGTATCGTCAAACAGTGTTCATACTGCAAGGGGACCTCCTAGTTTAGGTGGTCAGATGTAATTATAGCATGATTGATAAAGTTAAGGTGTGCTGCAATATATTGACTACATCGTTGGTGATTTCTTTGGTTTGGCAAATTTAGCCAGTGTTATTCAAGCATAACACTTTTATAATCTTACCGTACGGTTCATCTGGGCTGAACTTTTAATAGAACGTATTCACGATACGATTAGAAGGTCAGCTTAATTAATAACTGTGATAGGGATATCGAATGAGGTGATATTTTCCGTCTCTGATAAGTGAAATCACTTTTCCTTCCTTCTACTAAACACGCTGTAGTTCAATTCTAAGTATTCACTCCCAGAACAGTGATATATTAACTTGAATAGTCATCTTTCAACCAGTGGTTCAAATACTTGACCTCTGTTCCATCTACCTATATTTCGGCAACCAGGTAGTGTGGTCAGCCCCCGCCCAAGAAGTGTAGTCCATTACCTAGGTCATGAAGCTGCATGTTTCCTGTGAAAAGTTAGTCACATCTTATAGAGTAGCCGATGCAGTTAGTCTTGCTTAGCTATAGCACGCATACTTGCAGGATTGGCTTTTCCCTAGCTTCTAAATATTACGTCCTAATATTGTGTGTAAAAATCAAATAGTTGCTTATCGGTATTTTTAAATGTGATTGTTATTTTTTTACCTTGGAGTCACTTAAGTTTTATTTCAAAGATTCGTTGACAAGTTAACTGCATCTTCTCATGGAATATATACTAAATAAAAACCGAATAGTTTAAGCGAAACATATTTTGGTTAACAGGACATCATGAAGACGATGATCGAAAAAGCCATCTGGTATTTGCAAACTTACCTTATCCAAATACCCGTCAAACGGCTAGTGTACTGTACGGTTACAAGGCATGACTGTTTAAAAAGTAGACGTGAAGAAATTACAGGGTTTTGAGCGTAGGTTTTATTCGTAGCGTTGTCTGCATGCAGTGGGATTATTATGTGAACACTGTTGTTCACAGCTAGCTGTGAAGTACCGGACAAGAAAGGCAAACCAGTCGGTAAGGCTGCTAACTCTCACCTACTGAAGTGGCTCAGGAATGAGTTGTGCATTTCCAACCAATGTCTACCTGGATGTGGAGTGTTAGCCAGTGCAGATCTAATTTGGAAGAAGACTAGGGGTGACCAGATCAAGACGTGAAAATTGTTCATGAAGTCTTTAACCGTTGGTTTGAACTGTGCATGGAGGTGTAGGCTACTTGAACGAGTTTCTCAAAACGAAAAAAATCAGTATTTAGAAACTCTTGGCTATATAGTTCAAAATCGATCAAATTTTCGAACATTTTGAATAGCTTTCATTTATTTCTCCTCTCTCCTTTAATACACCTTTTCTACTTTAATATCATTCTTTTCCGCCCACTTCCTCTGTTTACTTACTGCGAAGTGTGTCAACTGGTGGGAAAGCTTTCACATTGATTTATCTATTTGTCTAGGATGTTGGAACTAATCCAGCTTTACTACATACCTTTTACTGCATCGCAATAATGTATAGTTTTAGATTTCAACCGTTGCATGCGTGCACAGAAGTTCAATCAGAAGCCTCATGACTTGAACAGTCAGTATATACAAAGATTAACGTCTTGTAATTTCTTGCTGGGTTGCTCAGGCTCGTGTATGGGTCTGGTAGTATCATTTTCTTGCTGGCATTGTCAAACATTTTTTGTAATACATGATATTCCAATAAATAGAAATAGGGCAAAATGAAGTAGCGTTGAATATGCCCGTAATATAGTTTCATTGGGTAAAGAAATTCGAGTTATAAACCATGCGGTGAATCTAGAGTAGTCAGATTTCATGTTTCCAATCCACGTTAAGGTGGCGATTAATTAGCGGTGTGAATTTCATACATTACGTTGGTCAAATATTCGATTATTTCAACAAGAGGTTTAATATCTATGCAATTTAAGTGATAATTGATCAGTGACCGTCTACTGAGTGTTATATATGACTGGACTATCAGACACCCTAAGTATTACCACTTGTTCTCGTGATGCATACATTGCCTTTATCTCTGACTGTTGCTGAAATGGGCTTGTCTTTTTTTAGATTTTCAACAATACTGAGAATTCCTTTCATGGATGACGGTATCAGTGTTACAAAGTTATTAGATGCTTAACTTGGAATTTATTTATTTATCCATACAGGAATTACTTGTCAGTATGTCTTGGTAATAAGGATAATAATAAAGTCACTGGTTTAGGGAGATGACTTCTAACCGATGGGTCACGGATTCTAGTCCCCCTCTATCGACCGAGGTTTGGGCAACCAGATAGTACCAGTAGCCCTCACACAATAAGTATGGGTCCACTGCTTACTGCACGAATGTGCATAAGGTTGCCGATTGCATTTCAGTTTTTCTCATTTCGGTAATAATTCCACTGACAACTGATATTTTAGGCTTCGTACCTTCAACCTAAGCATATAGGCTTAATAGATTAGATAGTTTGTGTATCTTGCGATTGAAGCTTAATCAAAGTATGCATGATAGATAAGCAAGATCATAGAAAATATGGGTTCTTATACCACTTTCCAGCAACTAGTCGGATGTGCTGTTGTAAGATGAAAAGAGTACCACTATTATTGCTTGTATTATGTCATCGATGATTGGACCGAATTGATCGGTCTCCATTGGCATATAGGCTTCTGTGCGGATGCGCTGATACTACCTGTGTTCTAATTACAGTAATGATGGATATTGGCTAGCAGTGGAATCCCGGTGGGAACAACACTCACTGGGAGGCAGATACATCCAGCTGACGAGTCCCAAATACGACGAAATGCACATCCTGGATTCTAATGCTAGCCACTATCCATCATTACTGAAAAGAGTACTGTTTGAGCGTAGTCGGACAGTAGACCTATTCTTGAAACTAAAATACTGAGTGCATAAAAGGTATGTGCTTATTCGAGACCTTTGTGTGATAGAAATGGTCAGTAGAATTTTGTCACCAGAAGTAGTGAAGTTGGTTAAATCAGGACTGATGAGTAGTATTTCCAAGTAAGTTTTACTTTGCATTCATTGAATTTTTGTTATTACTTTATTAGATTCTATCTTATTAAACCATATTCTTATGTATATTAATTTATTTTTTATCTTACATCAAGTACCAACAGCTACTCGTCCATTTTCACTTGACGCTATAACTGCTTTCTTAAGCCGTGATGTGCAGCGACAACTTGCTCGTGATGCATTCATGCGTATTTTAGAAGGCTTAGAGATACCATTCACTCGTCGCTTGTCGCTTAATGATGGTACAGTTGTACCTACACCTGGAATAGATTTAATTCCTGGTCAGTATGATGTGAATAGAATGAAGTTATTGACTCGTCTCACAACACGTCGTTTTGGTGGCAATGAATTTTATAACAGTAAGCGTTTGAATGTTTTTCCTTTTTTTTGTGGATATCTTGGGTGTTTTACACTATTGTTGAGTAGGATTTCGCCCTTTATTCAAAGGTTTTATTGTTATTAGGGCAATGGAAAACTGAATTATCGTTGTATGCCTAGGTGAATGATACTAATGATAATATACTCCTATATTATCCCCTGTTTTGTGTGTATATGGTCCAATGAGCAGTACATTTTTATGTCACTTTCATGCTTGGCCTGTCCACATAACCACCGAGTTGTGTTGATGCTAACTTACTGACAAGAAATACAACGTATTTCTTATACAAAAAAGCAGTTGTATTACAGCATAGGAATACCAATATTTATTTATATTACTGTTTTATTAACTTCAACTTTCTAAATGAATCGGTCTATTGATGATCATTATCGTTATTCTCTGTTGATCGGTATATTCCATGATTTGTTGATCAATGAGTATAATATTGATAGATAAGTGAGGGATACAATATTGCACTTCATATTTTTATACTGGCTGCTAACTAAACCTTCATAGACCTGATTGATGTTGATAACAATGTGTAAACATGAGTTCTTATGAGTGTTCAACACTTCTTGTTGATAAAGACATTAGCAATAGAGGTCCTGGTATAGATGCTGAATATTCCAAGTTTCTGCAGTTCATAAGGACATCAAAGTGGAAAGTCACCGAAGGAAAAAAACATTGAACTGAAAGTAATATCAGCATGCATGAAAGGGTAAAAAGAGGTAAAGGGAATAACGATATATGGTATTACACTTCAGATAAAGATGTGGTACAAATGTATTTAGACCAGTACAATAGATTTCAGGTCATATCTTCTATGGTGTTGTTACTTGTATTATCCCTTCGTTGATTGGGCCGAATTTGATCGGTCTCTATTGGCATATTGAAGTGATCGGTCAGGAATTCGAGTGCTAATGGAGACAACATCGCTCACTGGGAACCAGATGCATGCGGTGGACGAGTCCCTAATAGGACGAGACGCGCGCCCTGGATTCCACTCCTAACCACTATCCATCAGTAATACAACATATCTTCTAGTCTCTAGATTGCTGTATACTAACTAAATGACCTCCCTCAATGCCTAGCACAAAACTATTGATATTCAACCCATCAATCAATTGATAACACCTATACTGGAAATCATATGATTTTAGTGCAGTATCAAAAATTATCAGGCGCAAACTATAAGGTAAATGTAATTGGTCGAATGAAGCACCAGTGAAGTCCACTGATGACATTGATTTGCTATCCTTTCAGCCAAAATTCATACCAAGTAACTGGTATTGTTAAGTAGCTTGTAAATATGTCACTGTTTTTGTACACTTTTCCCTGAAACTTGTTACTCTTCGAAAGTTCTAGTCATTAAAAGGGAAATGCTTTATTGCAGCTTCTAGTCACTTGTGTATCTTTTAGTCAGTCTAAGTACTGTGTATTCTAAGCATTGTTCAGTTATCCTCACACTTCCATTTTCATGGATTCACGTAAAGTTAGTTCGACTATAAGATTGATTTTGAAACAATTAATCCCTTTTATGAATTTAGATGACGTAATTGAAAGACGTAGGCTATCTGAAAGATGTGATGTGTTTGCGCTATACATTTCGAACAATCCGATCACACATTTACTTGCAAAGGCATTTTTTAGGAAAACTGGAAGTAGGGGAAGGACAAATATAACATAAAAGAATTTAATAATAAGAAAGATAATGAAAGGAGCATGATAAAATTTGAAGACAACCCTGGTAATACAATAGGATAAACATCATCAAGGTAGGTTTAACGTAAGGAAAAACTGTTTTTGAATACACAACAGGGGCCTAAATTTATGTATGGCGCTTCAACAAACCTAAGTATACGCCTCTGACACTTTCTATACAAAATTATATGGGCTGTTTTAATATCAATTCTGTGACCTTTATCAGTGATATGCTTTGCAATGGACATTGATAGTTGTCTGCCACCTGCGCTTATCTGTATTTGTGAGTGTAGTTGCTTTTGTAGCTACATTAGTACTTATTTCCCCACTTGTAATACATCACATTTTTCAGATAATCTACATCTTCTATGAAGTGATTGTTTTGTCGAGTTTTTGTACTATATCCTATATATATAAAATATATCAACGTTTATAAGTAACTATCGATTGTGTGAGAGGTCCACTGTAGGACCCTCCACTCCCCATTTTCACCTATTCACCTGTAAACTCCGGAGAATTGTTAATTTGTTACTCCTATTTTCCTCAAGATGAATCGTTGCTTATCAGTGAACTGAATGAAATATACTTTATCCATATTTCTGCTATACAGCACCCATCCTGGATTGGAAGGATTATTGTTTAGTTTATTGTAACCTGCCACCTAGTTTAATTGAAAGTGTCATTAATGACGACTTTAACGTGCAGTTGGAGACCTTTAATGCCATGTATTTTACTAAGAAGTTCTGTTAGAAGTTAAATAAACCTATATATATATATATATATATATATATATATATATATATATATATATATATATATATATATATATATATATTCTACGGCAAACAAAACTTGCATGGAGATTTTATATCATAATTGCTTTGTTTCTTTTGATTTTCGCCTAAATTTTACCAGAGGATTAGAATAACCAACAAGCTCATGGGAGTCCAAAGCGAGTGACTATGAAGTTCACAGTGACACTGAGTAGGGTTTTCGATTATCGGAACAAGCTGAAACGTGGCACCGATTCCCTGGTGTCTTTGGTCGTCAGTGTGAACCGTGTATGGAGGTATGGATTGCCTGGTTGACATCCTTGAAATAATGAGAATCAGTAATTAGAAATTCTAGGTTGTATGGTTCAAAACCGCTGTTGATGATGTCAAGATTGTAAGCGACGGTTTTGCTTGTTAGTTCTAGCAACGCGACCTAAACACTAAGTGCTTATGTCGTATGTTTTGGACCAATTGTAACTGTGTACGTGGGATATTTCAGCTCTTTTTACCAGCGAACACTACTGTTTGGCATGCATAGTTTATAAGCACTCATTTTGTTCACCATGGTGTGCATTGTAATCGTGAGAGGTTGTTTTTGTAGAGCGATTCTCCTGTGTAATGGATACTTCCTTATAAAGTATAACGAAATCTTATAAATTATTTTCATTCTAATTACTTTAAACACATTTTAACCGCCTCATTATCCAATTAAATGTCATGGTTAATGACTCAGGGTCCTCGGATGAATTGTAAGGTGATTTTATAGTACGTCTCCATCAGATCCAGTAATTGCTTGTTACTAATTGGTTATATGGTCCTGCAATATCGGCCTAAAGGGACTTACATATTCAAAATGTCAATCAAAAGAAATGAAGTCCAATATTTTTAAAGCTAATTTAATCACCATACCACATTGGCTATCGGACTAGGACTTAATCGACAGCACAAAATCATAGGTGCATACTTCTCAAAGCGTACAAAACATGATTATTATTTTTTATTATTAGTCCCTTGGGTTCCTAGTGGAACATAGGGCTTCAGTAGCACGCCTCCAGTGACCTCTGTTCTCTGAGATCTTTTGAACCTGGTCCCACGACAGCCCAGAAGCTCTCATTTCCTCCTCACACGATCTCCTCCATGTCACCCTTGGACGTCCAACTCGTCGCTTCCCATGGGGATTCCACTCGAGGGCCTGACGCGTGATGTCCTCAGTCGGCCTTCTCAGTGCATGGCCAATCCATCTCCACTTCTTCCTGCATATTTGTTGCGTGATAGGTTCTTGGTTGGTTCGTTCCCAGAGTTCCTTGTTGCTTATTCTTTCTGGCCATCTGATCTCCAGTAGCGAGCGTAAGCAGTTGTTGATGAATGTCTGTAGTTTATTGGAAATGCCTTTCGTGACGCGCCAAGTCTCTGAACCATACAAGAGCACTGACTTGACTGAGGTTGGTGTTGAAAATCCGTATCTTGTTCCGCATGCTGAGTGCAGAAGATCTCCAAACTGGTTTCAGGCTAATGAGCGCCTGTCTTGCTTTTCCGATTCTGACTTTGACGTCCTCGTCCGTCCCGCCTGTAGTTGAAACAGTGCTTCCTAGATAAGTGAAGGAGGTTACTTCCTTTAAGTTTCTCCCGTTGACGGTGATTGGAGTTTGTTGTTGTTGGTGATGGTGGTGGTGCGGTATCTTCATCACCTCTGTCTTCTCTATATTCACCTAAAGTCCCGTCTTCGCTGCCTCTTCTATCAACTTGTTAGTTTTTGCCTGCAAATCTTCAAGTTTATGTGACATTAGACACAAGTCATCGGCGAAATCCAAGTCTTCTAGGTTCTTTTCCGTCGTCCAGTGTATCCCCCTCTTCTCGCTGCCTACTGTTTGCTGCATGATCCAGTCCACCACAATAAGGAATATCATGGGGGATAGTAGGCAACCTTGTTTCACTCCTGTCTTCACTTCACTGCAAAGGCATCACTGAGCTTTCCATTGTGAATTACTTGGCATGTGGCATCTTCATATAGTTGTTGAATGAGGCGGATAAAGGTTTGCGGTACTCCGTAGTATTGAAGCAGTTTCCAAATTACCTCTCGGTCGACGCTGTCAAAGGCCTTCTCAAAGTCGATGAAGTTGAGGCAGAGAGCTGATTGCCATTCTATGCTCTGTTCTATGATGATGCGAAGCGTTGCAATTTGGTCGGTACATGATTTGTACTTCCTGAAACCAGTCAGCCTGTTCTGGTCTTAGTTTTGAATCCAGTGCATCTTTTAGCCTCTCCAGGATGATGCGGCTTAATATTTTACTTGCTTTGGGTGGACAGGAGAGTGATTCCTCGCCAGTTCTTGCAAGCACTGAGGTCTCCCTTCTTCGGCAGTTTGACAAGGTAACCCTTCTTCCAATCGTCAGGTACCTTCTCTTCCTTCCACACCTTCTGCAATAGTGGTGTGAGCATGTCCGCTGTTGTCTCTGCATCTGTTCTCAGTGCTTCTGGCGGTATCCCATCTGGTCCTGCTGCTTTCCCGCATTTCAGTAGCTTTATGGCGTTCAGGACTTCCATTTTCGTTGGGGGTTTAATGTTCACTTGTAATCCAGCGGCTGCAGGTGGTATTTCTGGACGAAGTGCAGGTGGTGGTGGTGGTCGATTCAAGAGCTTCTTGAAGTGGTCGGCCCATCGTTTCCTCTGTTTCTCTTCTTTTGTAATTAAATTTCCTTCTTCATCTTTTATTGGTTTCATCTGTGTTGGTCTCCTCCCTGATAGCAACCTGGTTATTTGATACAATGTCGTCAGGTCTCTGTCTCTCACCTGCAGCCTGTTCTGCTTCACTTGCCAGTGTTTCGTAGAAGTGTCTTTTGTCTTTGCGTGCACTCTTCTTCACTTCTTTATCCAGTGTTTTATGTATTGTGCTCAGTTCCTCTTGTCGTTGAGCATCCTTGCACTGGTTTATCTTCTGCTTCACCATCGTCCTCTCCTCTATCAGCTTCCAGGTATCCGTCGAGATCCATTCCTTGTCTTCTTTCTTCTTCCTTCCTAATACTGTTGTGCAGGTTTCTTTCCACATAGCTTTCAAAGACTTCCAGTGTTCTTCCACACAGGTTTCTTCAGGGATGTTGCTCGATGTCTCCCATTTTGTCTTGATGGCTGCCTTGAAGATCTCCTTTGTAGTTTCATCCTTCAGTTTCCGAGTGTTGTACTTGGGTTGAGGTCTATCACCAGCTTCCTTGAAGGCTTTTAACTTGATTTGGAAGGTTCCTTGCACTAGACAGTGAGTGGTCTGAACCTACATCTGCTCCTCTTCTTGACTTTGTGTTAAGTAGACTGCGTCTCCATTTTCTTGAGATTGAGATAAAGTCGATTTGATTTTTAGTGTGTCCTGGTGTCTGGTGAAGTCCATGTCGCTTTGTGGATATCTTTGTGCCTGAACACACTGCCTCCAATCACCAAATCGTTGAATGCGCAGAATTCTGCAAACAATTCTCCATTCTCATTCATTTCGCCTAGCGCCTCTCGACCCATGGTTAGTTCTCTTCCTGTGTTGTCCCTTCCAAGTTTGGCATTCATGTCGCCCATCAGAATTTTGATATCGCCAACTGACGTCTTGTCCAGTGTTGATTGAAGTTGTCTGTAGAAATCCTCCTTTTTCTCTTGCTCTGCATTATTTGTAGGTGCATAACATTGTATGATTGTGACCTTCCTTCCTTTTGAGTTGAATCTTGCTGTCATGATCCTGATTGGAGGAGATTGGTTCCCACTGCATGAGAGCCTTCGATGCTCTTGAGGACATCATGATAGCCACTCCATAACTCAGTGTGCACGTGGTTGGCGTCTGGGTGACCGGAGTAGATTATTGATTCTCCAGTTGACAGTTTGGAGAGTCCACTCCCATTCCATCTGCTTTCGCAAATCCCAAGCACTTCGATGTTATACCTTCTCATCTCCTTTGCAATCTGGGCTGCCTTACTGGGTTCAAACATCGTGCGGACATTCCATGTCCCCACGTTTACTTTCGCTTTCATTGAGAGAGAGAAGACACATCGGCCAATTGGCTTCCCGAAGGCTTTCACCAACTGGCGTCATTTCGCCTCTCCGATTCCAGCGGGGTATAATTTTGTTTTCATTTTTTATATTTTGTTTGTGCTTTGAAGTTTGTTTAGCGGTTAGATTTGTTTTCCGGGGTAGGGTTGGTAGCCCTATGCCCAACCTTCCCTGTTTACCCGGGCTTAGGACCGGCTAGTAACTAGTAAACTAGTTAACCAGGCGAGGTTACAAAACATGATGGATGATCTTAATTTACTCCTTGATTTTCAATGTTATTGTTCATGTGATTATGCTGACTTTGGTGAAAGTTACCCTACGTTGTGTAGAGCTCTTGCTCATTGAGTTAGTCACACAAATTTCAATCAAATAGGTCACGAGTTTGAATCTCGAACCACATATTAAAGTTCGAGCAGTCAGTATTATTGACATTCTTTACAAGATTGACTTGGCTTATAACATGAATCTGTACGCGGCTTTTTCGTAGATTTTGTTTTATTGCCTTTACAGTTAGAAAAAACTTTTTGTTTTTACAGATATTTTCTCTCCGCCCGTAATTATTACTGTTTTTCTTCTTCATAATTAGTACTCATTGATCACGCCATCCAGAATTTACGTTATGGATTTGAGTTGTTATCAAAACTACTTATGCAAGAATATTGTCGTTATCGTGGTTTTCAATTGATTGGCTTTGGTTCATTTCTGGAGTCACGTCGTCACCAATTAACTGTGATAAGAGAACAGATTCGTAGGCGATTAGAGCCATCAATGGAAGATGGTGGCGATGGTCGATATGGGAAATCTGCAATTGATTCTAAGAAGGATATGCCATGTTTAAAGAATGCTGGTGAAGAGAATGTTGATGAAACCGCGAATAGTGCTGTTGGAAATCCTGAGATGATCAATGCAGATCACAATGAGGATAATAGTTGCATAAATGCATCCACAGATGAAATCTCCGTTGGAGAGAAGAAGAGCCTAGATGGTGTAACAAAGACATCATTGATAACAACAGCAGCAGATAATTCTTCATTGAAACTGAAAGCTTCAAATGATGATAATGATGAACAAGAAGGAGAAGTAGACGAGGAGAAGACCACATCAACTCCCAGAAATCTATGCAAAACTCAGTCAAAAAGACTAAAAGAAACCGCAGACGTTAAACCGACCCGAGAAAAACTAGGTGTATTGAAAGTGCCCTTAGCTCCTCCAGACGATTTGGGTTGTCTTTCATTTTATGATTGTTTACTAATAGCAATTTTACAAAAACTATCCAATCCTGATATACGTCAACAGTAAGTAGCTATTCATTTGTATTGCTAGATGATACTATATGAGTACATTTGACAGATACTGATTACAATAGCACTTAATATACTTATACTACATCGATAATAAGTTAAAAAAAACTCAATGTGAAAAAAACAAGGTAAATTATTGAGTTTTATGATTGTATTTAGTTGACTAAACTTTATAAGCCTAGGGTTAAGAGATAAGAATTACAAAATTACTGTCTATAGACAAATGTTAAGAAATTTCCCTTTTTTAAAGGGTTACTTCGAAAAATACCACTTTATTTTCCCTTACTATAAACCTTTTCATTGACATTCATGTGATTGATAAGCAGTGTAGTTAATTTGATGTCTTTCAAGGCTGACGTGTAAGTTTAATTGAACGTTCATAGAGAGACACTATGGATGACTCTACTAATTACTGTCATAGATTTCCACTGGCGGTTCTTTGCTTGGGATGACATCTATATTTCTTTTCATTCAATAACTTGTGTGTACATACTTTTATTTCACTGTCTACACATGGTTTTCTTAAATCATATGCATAAGTTGGCTATATTCTTCGTGCAGTTCATCTTTCGTTAGAGTTGAACTGCTCTCATGTAAATCAGCTTGACTTGTCTTCATTCATTACTACTGTATTATGTGTTTAATTATCATTAGAACTGTTTTCTTAGTGGATTTTGACTAAGAAGTATCTGGTCTTGCGTCCCCCGACTGATAATTGCTAACTTGACGTGGTGGTCCGCTTGTATATCACAATGACCCAACGAGCTATGCTGGTGAAACTCTTGTCCCCCAGAAAGGTCATTTGGATAGCCATAAGACAAAAGCAGTTGCCATTACAGTGTGAATTTCTACGCTTTGATGTGGGTCCAAGGGTGAAGTCGTAGTACTGACTGGATGGGGGGGGGGTGTAACAGCGGTAAAGTGTTTCTCATGGATGATCACCAGTACCATACCGGTCTTGCCTTCTCTGCGGAAGAAGGAGAGGCTAGAAAATGTTGACTTCCAAAACAGCATAATCCTCTCTGCCTCGCGACCTTCCGGTGCCGACAGTGTGGGTTTATCCTATTCGGTGTTAGAACAACCGAATCCCAAGCCACCTATCCTTAAAAAACAGTTTATGACCGGGCTCAAGCAGATGTTCTTTGACCTCTGTGGTCACACAAGTGTTTTCCTTTTCTCTTTCGGGTACCCTGGAGAAACAACTTCGATGTTGTGGGCAGCCGGGCAGTGTCAACCACCTGCGCGCTTCCAGTAGTACACAAAACCCTAGCAAACAAAACCTACTCTCATCACTTTTATCTCCTCCCCTGCCTTCACTTATGGCCATCAATATTAATCGTATTACAACTGTCTCAGCTTCTCACCCTGCAACCATTGCCAATGATCGAAGCCTTCGAAACATCATTCCTAGTCTCCTAAAAGCCTGTTGTCGCTTTCACACTGCAGCTTCCGAATTCCGAACCTTATGCAAAATCAGACAAGAAGCATCGTTCACCAGAACTCTATAATCTTGAGCCAATGACATGCTATTTTTCTGAGACATGCGACCTGAATGTGGTTATTAAATTGACCTCACCTGGCCATTGTAGTGAATGTACAAAATTCACCGTATGAGTATCCAGAGACCTTATGACTGGCTATCGTGAGCTGGTTAGTGTAGATGTAGCAATACGTTGTAGAGCGGAAAGAGGACTTCTTGTCTGCATACCAGTCAGCAGCGGTCTATATACTGTTCAATCGAATGGATCTGTACAAACTAGAACTGATCATGAGACTAGCCGATGGCTATTCATATTCTCCGCCTGCACACCCACTGACTGCAGTTCGGATGATGCAAAAGATAGATTCTATAAGAAGCTGCCAATTTTTATTTCGCTGCAGAAAGCAAAACGTTCAGGTAGTCATGATGACAAGTGACTTCACCGCTCGAGCAGGAAACCTGAGCCAATGAAAAATGTGTCCTAGAGGTATTTGCTGAATCCCACATCAACGAACCGAAAACGACAATCTTCTGTTGCAGTTTTGTGACAACCACTTATTTCTGGCTAGCACTAATTTGAAGCATGAAAAGAAGCACTGTCTTGCATGGCGTCCGCCGACATCAAACCAACGATTGATACACATAGATCACATTGCTATAGGCCATCGTTAGGTGGGATCGGTGGAGCATCGCCGCTCTTTCTGGAGTACCTGTTTGGACTCCGGTCACGCTTTGGTATGGGCACGTGTATGTCTGCGGCTTTCTAGTCGCAGGAAACATGCGACAATAAATCCTGTGCATGTTCGATTGGAAGATAAAAATATCAACCACGTACTTAGAGATAAGAAGTAGCTTAGCATTTATATGAACGTAACAGCGGTGCTCATCGTGAGGAAGCTTGGTGTAATATTAAGTCTGCCATTATAAACAATGGCAACGCCAGTTGGTAATCTACATACAACGGCTAGCGAAGAACCGCAACGTCATCCGAACCGATTGATACACGACTGATTCCAGCAAGCTCTCACCACAATGAGTAGATAAATCAATCTTATGGTAACTTGACCACGAGTCATCGTATTGATGGGTGAAAAAGCTAGAGATGGAAAAGGTATCCGGATTAGGTAATACTTGTCAATTATTTAGGCTTATTAAAGATATTGGCATGAAGATGATGGTTAGTGAAACCATCGCCGAAAGGATGGGATGCTGATAACAATTCAGGACAGAAAACTTGAGAAAACCACGAAGACAAACCTGGACGTGCGTGTGCGTCGATCAGATTATCACATTCTGACAAGCTCTGGAACTCTGGGCATACTTACCAGTGACCGGCACGGCATATTTCCTGACTTTTGGGCAGCATTCGACTCTGTCGACCGTGAGGTGTTATGATAGTGTCTGAACGTGGAAGGAGTACCAATCGCATATGTAACCCTAATCAAAGCTCTCTACTCGACCTCACGCAGCCGTGCAAAGGCTTATAGAGAGTTGTCATCATAATTGACGACAACTAGTGGTGTTTGTCAGGTATGCACACTCACCGTTCCTATTTAATTTCGTCATAGATGTACTAATAAACATATTCTTAAGTACGTCTTACTTTACAGAGATTGATCTACTCCTTGGAAGGTATGCAGTTGACTTGGAGTATGTAGACAACATTGTTCTGTCAGATGAAAACACTAACAAAATGCAGCTCTTCTGAACGCGTTGAGCAGAGATCTGAGTGTTTAGTCTACACTTTACACCTATCAAATGCAATATGATGCTTCAGGACTTCAGAGTTTAATGAAAGGGAGTGAAGTGGTTGAATGCCTCGACCACTTCAATTACTTGGGGAGTCGCATTAACCCGAACGAATTGATCACTGATGAAATCTCAGCTTGGATAGGGATGGTCCGTTTAGCATTTGCCAACTTGCGTTATCTCTGACACTAACTGGCGAGGTATCCAACTAGTTATTTCAAGAAAGATTATACTGCACCACAGTTCGTTCTGTCCTGTTTTACGGCTGAGGCGGCTGTTTGAAGTAGATGTGAATAGTTTACGCTTTTTCGAAAACAGGTGTCTTCGTAGTAATGCTCATATTAGTGAATCGCCGTGTAAGTAATGTTGATGTTAGGCGCAACGTGCTAGGCGAGGGAAGCTCGTCAGACGATGAAGCTATGAACTTGCATTGACCGAGGTGGCTTGGATATGTGTCGCACCTACCTAGCTACAATCTACCTCGATGTGCAACGTTGACCGAAGTAGTATTGTGTTGGGAGAAGTCTTTAGGTTGGCGAGACTGCCATGTCCCACTATTCCATGAGTTCAGGCATTGTTGGTCTCAGCCATGTAAAGAGGTTTTAACTGCCTGATTTGAGTCCTGATAATCAGAATCAATGGTTGAATATTAGTGGTACGGCTGAAAATTGGTTACAATGGTGCTGATCTATTCACTCTTTGATATCTTTTAATGCGTACAAATTTTAATTAACTTTCACTTTTAAATTCCTTTTCCTCTCGTACACCTTTTTCCATTTGATATGAGTCTTTTTCTATTCACTTTTTCATGATGCTTTGAAGTATGCAGCGTGAACTGATACACTCGTGTACGAGGTTCTACGTTGATTTTGTCTGTCTGGTCTTGTGTCCCTGTCGGTAAATGTTTTGATATGCAATTAGATTTCGTTAACGGTGTATGTGTACAGATAAGTGAAACGACTTGATCGTAGGTAATAGTCTTCCTTTGTTTAACTTGGTTCGTTAAGCTTGAAGGATGTGTTCGTTGAAATATGATCAGCTTCTGAAATTTGAATCAAAGTATGAACATCTTCAACATAAGTCATAAATTTTCGGCATCATTCCTCGTCAAGCAGTATCCTATATTTATCATAAACTGACCATCGCCTGATTGATATTTTCGGGTGTGTGCATATGTGACTGCGGATGTATAAAAGAAGACAAGACAAAGAGCAAGAAAATCACCAGGGTAATAAAGTGTACAGCAGTTCGATTACAATATATTTATGAATCTGTTATCGACTTCGACTATGACTATCAAAGTTTCCCAAGCACTAGATTTTATTACCTCATCGAGCTTACAAACTTCTGAAGGACTTTCAATAGCGTCACACATTAATATGGTCTTAAATACAAGTGTCTCAATATTTTTAAATTCTACTCTTAAGAACACTGCGTTACAAGACAATCATCAATTTGACGTATATGTGTATTGCGTCTCAAACGTCTCAGCCTATGGTTATGTACAAATTAGCCTACTAGTGTTTTCATCCTTATTTGCAACTGTGAACTTTACTTCTGCATTATGTGTCCAATGTTTCCATAACATTGTTCGGCGAATGCATTTTACTACATCGACCATTCAAAAATCAACCGAATATAGAGTATTTATTGTGTGATGTTTGTTTGTACCTGGAACAATAACTAACCCGTGCAAATTGTTACCCATTGCAACTGCAATATAACAGGTAGTTAAGAAGTAAAACTGTGGTTCATTTCTCTCGATACTCGACTTTCAACCGCCGAGTCATGGGTTTGAATCCCTTTTCACACAAGTGTCTGGATTGCCAGCCCCCATGAAATAGGTTTGGGTCATTACCGAGTGCAAAACTTACTGACTAGTGGGTTACTTCGTTATTATCATCATTAATGAACGATCATAGCGTTAAAACAAATTGTATTTCAAGAGATAAATAAGTGTTGGTGAGACGACGTATAGGTTCCACCGATTTGGTTGACTTCATTGCATTGCTTGAGATCTTCATTCACTAACTTCCATGTTTCCTGGGAGATGGAGTCCGTCATTATTATCGCCTTAGTGCTTGTTTCTTTCACGGTAATCATTCTGTAGTAATGATATAACAATTTTCTCCTTTGATTTGACTTTTTTCCCTTCTCTCTCTCCCTTGTTATCTTAGTTACTTTAGCAGATTTCTAATAGAAGCTCCACTTTTAACTCCAGGAGCGATCAATGAATTAAAACGATATTGTTCATCACCAGAACAAGCAGCATATGGATTCGAGGTTGGTAGTCATCGTTTTTCTGTTTCTCTTTACTTTGCATGCAAATGGTTGTTATCAACATAGGGTCTGATATTATTGTGTAACAGTACAAGTTGCTACGCTTAATACCAGCACATCGAGGTAGAAATCACATGGATGAAATTTAGAGAAATGAGGACGAAAGTAGTCAAGTGGTAAAAAGTTGTAAGAAGAAAACAAGTAGGGATGAAACAATGATGGAATTCGTAATGATAGTTAAGATGATAATATGTGAATGTATTTATGCCTCTTAGGTGTGTCACTTAGAGTCTTCAACCAGCGATTTCGGTTGTCACGTGGACCCGAACCAGGAAGTCTACGTTTGACTGCGTGGCTCGAACCAGTGGTTGAAGACTTCATTCGGTGGTGCGATGTTTGAACTTGACCTCGTCTGACATTTTCCAACCTAAGCTTGCTCAAACTAAACTTGCATAGAGAGACAGAGACAGTGACTTGGCATGCGTAAAACATGTCACAGCCATCTGAATTAATGAATGTTGACAATCACATCAACTGACTTTCCTCTTCTGTCCAAAACTCTGCTCCTGACTTCTGCGTTACTGGTGTAGTGACATTGGGACACAGGGCGTATGCTACGGTGATAGTGGCGGTGGAGCATTTCAAGGTTTGTGATATCCTCTACTTTTAATTGACATGTTTCATGGCCATATAGTAGAGGAGGGGGGTCTGCAACGGAGCACACTCGGCCTTAATAGGCGATCGGATATCATGTCGACATAATTGGCGTAATTTGGCGAAAGCCTATTTAACCTTTTGTATATGTGCAGATATTTTGTGGGTGATTGATGATTCAGAGCTGATCCAACTTCTCGGGTCAGTGGAGTGAATTGGTCAACACACTTAACTATTTTACTCGCTATTGTTAGTTAGGATACCAATGAATACCGGTCCTGAATCAACAGTTTGCATTTGTAGTTAGAAAGGCTTTATATGGATTCTCAAATTGTCACTCAATGTGTTCATCTACATGCACTTGTCAGTGCTTAGTTCAATGGTGATATTAGCCTACAAGTATACTTATCTACATGCACACACATACTTTGTTAATTTTCTTAATTTCTGCGGGAAATGACATTGTTTTAGTTTGAATGCAACTGTATTCTATTAGTGAGGATTGTTGTATTGTTTAAACAGGGAAGGTGATTTTTAAAAAGTTCGGTGCATTCACTTTAGATAATAAATGAATGATGAAATGTCAGCGCAAGTACATAACTAATGCTTAGTTTTCTTGGCTAACCTGTGTAATGTTTGGTCTTGCTGTTACAGCCGTGAGAAGCCTACTTTCATTCACTTCTATCGTTGGATTATCGCTGTAGTAATATGGGAAATTTTCTGTAGAATTTAAATATTCCAATTTCCAAACTTAACAAATTTTCATCTTTTTATTCTGTGCAGTGTCTGTTGACTAATAGATGTGGAAAAAAAATTGGACGATGCAATCTGAGGCTGGAGCGGATCTAGTTAGAGTTATTGTGAATACGGTCTATGGGAAGACGCGATGAAGTCATACACTGATGATATGAGCTATGTATTTGGTTGCATAGTGTGACAATGATGTTTATTAAGGTGGTAACAATAATCAATCTCATGAACTTAAGTATACGCTCCAGTTGCTTACACCAACCTTCGTATTTCAAACTTCAATAGGTTAAATATTCATGAGTATACCAACTGTTTGAAATTAGAGTAGATTGCAGAAGTGTAGCATCCAATTGTCTTGAAGGATGCTTTTTTCAATAGTAATATTTATCCCTCCAGATGTTCTTATCGTCACATGAAATTCAGATATAGCTCCTGCAAAATCTTTTCAATCTTTAATCATTCTAGTTGTAAATAATAAATCATATCAGAACAGTTTTAATGAACAGTGAACAGAGACTAAGGTCAATAATCATTTTGAACCTGACTTTATATTGTTAATTTCAAATTTTGAAGAATAACTCTAGCATCGTTAGTTAACTTATTGACGGGATTCTATCCTCTCAGACTAGAAGTATCGGGCCGTGTATATTCTAGAACTGCACTTGGCAAGTATATCCCGTTCACTTAAAAGTAAAAATGTGCGGAAGCCATTGATATATTGTTGTTTGAGTTGGAAAAATGTGGTAATACTTATCAGAAATCTCTTCTTTGCTTTTATGAAAGATCTGTTGGTAAAGTCCATTCTGTCACCGTTTTTGCAGATATTGAACACCTCTCAAAGATTCATTGATAAGCTCCGAAAACCCAAGAATTACATCTAACTGTCAGTCTTTTGAAGTTGTTCAACAAAAATCTGAGGATATTGGTTGTACTTTTTCCATCTGTTAATCTCTAGTTATCGATTCAAACCTTAACTGACGCGTAGTTCAACGATATGGATTTCATTCGTCAAGCATTTTGGCTTCTCGTTATTATCTCTTCCTTTTACAACTTATACTTTGTGTTCCCACGTGTACTTTGTTGCAGACTGAACAGCTATGCATCTCCATGATATCCACGTAATATATATATATATATATATATATATATATATATATATATATATATATACCTGTTGATTGACGTATCATACCCGGTTTATACATTCTATTCAATAGTTTCTAATATTCTCCATTATATTAGATATTACGTACGCTGATCGAAACACGTCCAGTCAGTCAGAGAGAAGATCTCTTAAATATGCTACTACACTTTTGTTCAGTTGATGGATTAGAAGTACGTAAGGCTGCACTGAATGCTACCAGGGAATTGGCAAGTTCCGATTCAAGATGGCAAGATCACATAGAGGTAGTTTATTGTCTGCTTGATTCTTTATGTATGTTTAGTTGACTTGTGCTCCCTTAAATTTATCCAGTTGTTTCTTTTGTGGAATTAATTAATTAAAAGATGATTTTTATGAAAAGTGGAGGTTGACTGAAGAAACATCTTGAGCCATTAACTTCTTGACTTTTTATAGTGATGAAGTGAGCACTAAGTCCAGGGATAAGACTAGATTTTTAGGGATGATAGTGGTGAAAGTGTGGTATCAGTTGTTGGGAACATGTAAATGCTAATCGTTACCATTCATCTTCGTAGTTCTACATTCCATATTCATTAGATATGTAAAATTGAGAAATAAGCTAAGTGAAAATGTAAAATGTCATATTTTATCTTACACTTTTTACATATTAATAACACAGACAGACCTTCTTTAATGGACGGACATGAAGCCATCCTCATTTAAAGCAATGCATATTTCACACGAAAATTCAAGCAATTGGACCATAGTTTAAAACTGTTACTTTACCCATAAGGATTTAGACAAATCGAGTAGTACCCACTAGCCGTTGCGCAATGGGTGATATTCACAACTTTGCACATGGTTACTAAGGGGTTAGTTTGATGTGTTATACAGTTGTATTGATTGGTATTCTGATCATCATTCGAAATGAATCACAATTCACTCATAAATCATTTAGACGCTTGTGCAATAGACACTGAGCCAAACCTTTAGCGTAAGGACTAATCATACTACCTGAATGCCCACACTTTGCTAAGTGGAGCGGGATTCAAACCCATAATTCACTGGTTTGAAGCTGAGGGCCTAATCGTCAGTCGTAAGCAGAAAATAACCATTTGAATAATAATATGTAAATATTCTGTTTACACTGAGTTTTTTAATATAATATTTTTGGACAGCTGCAGTCATTCAGGTCAATAATTCATTGTAAATTCCATCATCTTAGATATCAAACCAGATGCAAATTATACGACTGAATGCAACTGATATGAATATGAACAATAAATTATGTCCGAAACGTTATCCAGTAAATGATACTGTTTCATTGTGTGACAATTCCAGTAAACAGACTAAAATGAAATTACTCTCTGCCATACTGTCCAGGTTCTACTCTTAGATGTAAGCAACTCAGTTGTGTGAAATTATACCGAGATGTCTTTTTCAAGTTAACCAATTGAGATTACTAAGAACGACTAAAGATGCGATTATAAGAGATGCAGAGCATATATATATATATATATATATATATATATATATATATATATATTATTGGCAACTAACTCATATCAACCAGTGGTACTCATCTGTTTAATCAAAGTTGTGTAAGCTGCTATCGGTCATGTTTTGTGTTGAGCTTATCAACCTCTTGGTTTTCTAACACTCATGTACACCAACAATGAATGTTATCAGTGTTATTGCTTGTATTACACCGTCGTTGATAGGACCGAATTGATCAGCCTCTGTTGGCATATGGGCTCCTATGCGGATGCCTCGATATCGCCTATCTTTTAACTATGTTTAGTAATGAATGTTATCCTTAGAACGGGATCCGTGATGTATCAGCATTTATATTGTTTTGTTTCGGTTAGCTGGTGTTCACTGGGTGATATACGTTCTTTTCAATTACACATACCTGTTAGTAGTATTTATTGTCGATTGAAAATTCATTTTTTTTGTGGATTTATTTAGTTTACTAGAATAATGGGTGTATTTGACAAAAAAAATTCCGAGTCATGATAAAACAGGAATAAGTTTGTGCTCTATTGCTGATCAGGTTGTGATTTGATCTACTGAGCAATGCAGCTGGGTTACTTATCGCAACTTAGTTTGAATTTCACTCTGCAAGAGTTTACATTTATGTTGAGTTTAGCTTATCAGCTGCTACGTTGAACTTTAACAATAAACATAATATTCTTTTAAGTATATTGTTTGTGATTTCTTTTATGCTAGATGTTCGCTGTACAAATGCTTAAAAAGTTGTTACAACCGCGTCCAAGTCCAGATATATTTCCATTTCTTAACCATGCTTCAATACCATCAACATGGACTGATGAAGCATGTCAAGCATGTGCACACTTATTTCTGGGTTTAATGCCTCAAAGTCCTTCACTTATGCATAAGTATGTTCTTACTATTGGCTTTTATGCGCTTGAAAAATAGTATATTCATTTGATATTATTTTTATTTGTTGGTTATTCACAACTGATGTAGTTCACTATGATCTATCCTTTTTCTACTACTGCTCCGGGAAGCATAGTAGAGCAACTTAGTGAGTTGATATATATGGATGATCAATTGTGATAATATTCGTTGATGAAACTTTACAATCATGAGTCAAGTACTTGATACCTTAATCCCATAACACAAGTTTCGGAATATGATCAGTTTCGGGGCTGAGGTTAGAATACCAAGGTAGTATTCATCATGGACTGACACCTATTTTTACAAATCGCCACTCGAATGAAGTTGAAGTTATTCATGGATCTAGCACCAAACGATAATCTTATCGTTCTGTTCTTTTCAAGATGTAAATTAAGATGTGTTTATAAAGTCACAAAATATGTAACTATTCTTTGGTCACGAACTAGTGACTGGATGATGTTAGCCGATGTGGCTGCCACTTTCTGAATGCACGGTGATAGAAGAATGTTAGTGATATATATATAGAGTGTGATATTTAGACTAAGTGATATATCACTGCAATGCATCATATATTTTGGTGTTAGATGTTAAGATTCAATCTGTAGGGAGCAGTGCACCGGATTTTCATGCTCGTTTGTACTCATCTGAAATGCAATCTTCAGGAGACTCATGTATACACGATAATTCAAACCTGCGTCACTCACTACGGAAATCAGGAACTTTACCACCAACCTAATTAAGTGGTATCTGACTCTTGTGTCATGGTTCTAAACATCGTACTGTTTTAGTTGATATCGTAAGGGTTATCGAAAATGAGTTCATTTCCTTGTCTATTATCCACTAGAACTCTGAACAATCAAGATCATTATGATGGGTAGTTTTTCGGTATATTTCTACCTTACAAGCATCTCTTTTTTTATGAATATGACATGTATTTATATTGTGGAAATGTGTTGGATAAAGTGATGCTCCTACCACCTTCCTCATCCCTGTTAAAATGTTGGCTGTTAATAACCGACTATTCATGGTATTCCTGTGAATATTTCTTCGTAAACAATATGCTTTTTTAGGCTTGTTTTTCTCTATTTGGATTTCACCGCCTCCCTTCCTCCCCACTGAATTTACGTGTTCCTAAGAGACTACTGTCAAGGTTGACCAGCTCATCTTTCAAATACACATAAATGGATAGTGCATCCATTAGGGCGGTTTAGCACTTTTGTTTTTCTTTGTGATACTTATCGACTGAAAGACGTTTTCTGTTGTCTAAACTGATGATTGATGGATCAACTAGGTGTTTGTATATGCATTATGATTACCATTTATGTATTATTTCTTGAATTTCCTTCTGGTCGCCCACTGTTATTTTTATTTTTATCCGACAGGTTAGCTGAAGTTTACACTCAAGCTAGTCCAAATATAAAACGATGTTTATTGAGAATGGTCGATTGTCCGGTTAGTTTAACCTGTCTGTTCTTACTTTTCAACATTATTTTACTGTTGAAATCATTTGTGTAAAAGTTTTTTTTAAATCATATAATGTCTAGGATGTATCAGTTCAATCGTAGGTATACACTTGTAAGCTTTGGACCTGCTAAAGGAGGCGTACTTTGTACCGTAAATAATTCGAGGGATTCGATCTCTCTCGTTTGAATTATTATGCGTACCCTGCCAATAAACTTGACTGCGAATAAACATCCACTTTTTAAACCACTCTGTGGTGGTCTTCTCCGTTGTTATCTTCATAAAACTACAACGGTAACTTCTTTTCGTCTTACTACTATTCAACTGACCTTTCTGGCATCGTAAGACCTCAACGGAACAAGTTTTCTACCAGCATAGCTCGTTGGGTCATTGTAATATGCAACCCCAAGCACCACGTCAAGGTGACAGCTAGCAACCAAGAGTCTAAATAACTGTGAACTCTTACTTACCACCGTAACTTTTAAAATATCTTTTTATCCTTCGCTGCCCACCAGTCCTCATGATTATTACATAGCTTCTTTACTAGTTAGCATCTGACTTCCTTCCGATCCTCATTGTACTCTAAGTCTGCAGAAATCCTCTCAACTGCACCTATTGATTCAGAGGAAGCTGTTTAGATCCAGTAACTATGCCACCTTTTGCTGGTAGTCAAATACTGCTTTAAACCCAATTTACATCAAGCTTGAGATGGTGAACAGGCTTTAGGATGTGCGACATTTTCCTGTTTCAGTAATTGTCTAACCAGTTTCTTTTTGCAAGCAACCGAAGTATTTTCATCATCGAGGTGCTCTCAGGATGGTCTTCGAGCAGTGGTTTCTTTTCAGCTACTTAGTTGCAGATTTGCCTGTGGTCGAATCGACGCGTGATCACTATTCAGAAATAGCGACAATCTTCCACTGACCCTCTGCAGCGATAGGTGATAGCAATATGTTCTATCTGTATCCACAGTTGATCTGACGTCAGTGGATGCTGTGTCATTGAATGCCTGTCTTTATGTCTAAAGTTAATGCTGGTCTGAGCAGTTATATCACGCGATTACCGTTATCCTTTTCTCCTGCTAGGATTCCTTTCCTACTTACCATCTATGTACATTTCTACCTAACAGCCTATCAACTTATACATGGAAATCACCTGCTTCAACAAACGCATTTAAATATTTGACCTTCAATAGGAGGCTAGACAGTTTTTGGTAGATCTAGTCTTTCACTTCATATGAAATGCAGTCAGCAGGTGCGTAAGCATAGATAACGAAAAGACGACAACTAGTTTCACTGTTATATTTATAGGTGAATAAACAGTTCATCTGTGTAACAACTCACAGGTGACTATCGACTGAGATCCTATCACACCATGCACCTTCTTCATTAGGTCTTAACGCCACACCACCACCTTCAAGTTAGCGAGGGCCAGACACCGAATTTCCAGAAACTCAAAAAGTGGATTTTTCAGATAATCAGATAATTAACGACTGAGGTTGATTGAATAACCGTGCTTGGTTCTTATTTACGTTCCTCACGAACAAAGTGCATGTTAGCCGATTCGACAGGGTCTACGGACTCTGAAAGCCCCAATATGTAGTTAGGAGTATAGTTTCATGAGAACAGAGACACTGTTCCGTGAAATCGAATCGTTATCGAGAGGTGTAGTTCGGCAACAAGTCGAAAAGGACGTAGGAATATTTACCGAGAGATATTAAGAAGGATTAGAAGGTTAACAGTGATCTGAGTAAACCTTAGTATTGACAGAATTGCGAAGGTGGTTGGGACTTCTTGTTTGCCCACATTGCAGAAGGTTATTTTTTCTTGAGGTATGCGTGGCCGAAGAGCCCGAATTTGTCTTCGGGTCCACATCACAGCGTAGCTATTTACACTACTACGGTAACTGCTTTTCGTCTCACCACTATTCAAAAAACCTTTCTGGGTATGGTAGGACCTCAAGGGAATGTGTGTTCCCACCAGCATATCTCGTCGGGACATTGTGAAATGGGAGCCCAACCACCATGTTGTAGTAGCATAGCTACTGGTTAGGCCTTTTTATGGCCAGACTGCCCTGTGTTCTAATATGATGTGGTTCTCACTAGTACTAGAATTCAGATTCTGTTATTTAAAATATCTTCCTAATATTACAGCTATTGGTTCTTCCCATTTTTCCTTTCGATTTTAATATTTCGCTGTTTTTTTTATGCTTTATGTATTTATATATTATGTCCATGAAAAATGTATGCACTGTGTAGGGAATGAATTTGTTACAAATATATTTATATTACTCACTATTATTAAGTAGTAAAATTCCTGACCCCGTGTATTGCAGCTTATTTTGCTGCTGTAATTATTTAGTTTTGTTAAATCGTACTTATTTCTTTTATGACGTGACCTCCTACAATGCTTTTATCTTTCCAATTTGTGGTTGTATTGAGTTAAAATGGCTCTTGTGGATATGATGGTAATGCATTATGCAGAATTAGTTGGTGCCTATTTGACATACGAACCTTACATATCTTTACTTTGATTATGCTGTGAAACTATATTTAGATACCAGAAGTTGAATACAAAAAGCGTTTCTCTTGGTTCTATGATTTATATGTATAAATAATTGTCACTCTCTCATTTACTTTGCATCATAATTATTGTTATTACTTTAATTTCAGATACGTGATATCGGTATTTATTCAGTTGATTTGCACGATTTAGTTGATAACTGTCCAAATGGTGCTGAGACTTTAGTAACACGTATGATTCATATACTTACTGACTGGCCATCTTCTGCCTCTGCTGCAAACAGCACATCTGTTTTAAACTCTGCTTTGATAAATACTACTACCAAAACACAATCTTTACCTCTTAGCCCTGGATCGACTGTTAATCAAACAAATATCACACAGATAGGACCAGCTGTGATTGTTCCACCACCTTCATTAGTTCAACGTGTATTTCATCTCTATCAAGACAAAGTACAGGATGTTCGATGTCTTATTCCCGTGATTGTTGGTTTATCCAAACAAGAGGTAATAGCTGCTTTACCGAAATTAATACAACTGAATGAGAAAGTTGTAAAAGAAGTAATAACTCGACTGCTTCATGGTAAGAAAGTGTGTTATCAATAACATACTTTACTTTTCCTTAATAGTGTTGAATGTGGACACAGTATCCTTTAGCATTGATGCTTCTTGTGTTCTTCAGTAATGCACATCAAACTTTGATCTGATCTCACTACGTCAGTTCTTTTGATTTTCTGCAGGCTTTTCTGTGTATATGTTCAATAGCCAAACTCACATCTTGAGGATTTGAACTTCATTTGAAGTAGATTCGATTGTTTATCTGAATGCAAGTCTCTACTCGGTTACTTTATTTTTTATGAATCGTTTAGTTAGAAACTAACAGAAACAAATAGATCAATCAGCGTAAAAAACTATTTAGAGGAGTAGCTCAGTCCAAGTTGTAACACTTCGCTGCAATGCAGAAAAAGTGTATAGAAAACGATCTTAGATTAGACCAAGTTTATGAGAAGAGAGGGGGAAAATAAAGGGTTGTTAAAAATGAAAATGATAAAGAAAGTCTACATCTGTGCTATTGTGACTACTTTTGAGCTGTATCACTAAGAGTCGACTACCATAGTTTCTTATCATCTCGAGGTCCCTAACCAATCAGAATTCACAATGCAGACCAACGATCGAAAACTTGAGGGGTCGACAATACGTTTTGGTCTAGAACCTGATTTGGTTAACATCGTGCATTGACTTACGTGACGGTCTAAGGTATATTTCAGGTTTAAAGCTTCATCAATTGACTTATCTTCCGTGCCTAGTATTCTGTGCCTAACCTCTACATTGCTCACAGACCGTTCTTACCATATCCGAACGGTGATATGAAGATACCTATATTCAAAAGTTTATAACTATGGTGAATAACCTGTAGCGTAAGAATTTGAAAAGTGGTAAACTTGTATGTTTATTTGTAATGCACAGATTACCCACCTACAGACTGCAGTTTGAATAATATGACGAAAGGATTAATTGTTTAATCTAAGGCTGTCAAACTTGTCCCATGATTGTTGATGATTTCAACACTTATGTCAAGAATTTGAAAATGATTCCCATCATTATGTGTCTGTTACAGCGAATATCAATCTGCCGAACAAAAAAATGATTATCGCCTACAAAACTTGCCCGACTGATAGCCACATTTCCTTGAGTCATCACATCTATCTTGTTTTCTACCACAAACATAGGTCAACATTGAATTGGTACCGAATACACTGCAATAATATACTTTTGAAATAGTTGCATAAATTCACCAGTACTTAGTAGTGGAATAAAAAAATTTGCTAACCGTCTCTATCCTTCGAAATTTGTTTATGTGTGCTTGATACACCTTTCAGCATCCATCAATTTCTGTTTGTTATCTTTAGTCGTAATATTCGATTAACTTACGGTTTTAAATGCCGGAGAACATTTTTAGCTCAAATGGATGGCGTTTGTTCTCCTGAGTGGTTTAATCTCTAATAGAACGCAACACATTGGTGAACTATGGTTTGTTTTGACAGGAAAACAGGTTTTCCAGCTAATATTATCATGAGTTTAACATGATGGGGAAAGCCCATGACTAAAGTGAGTGAATAATACACCATTGGTCATCCATCCATCCATCCAAATCAACATAGGACCAGGCATTACTGCGTAACGGTCCGAGTTGCCATACCTCATATCAGTAGATCAAGTAAAAAGGCAGTGAGGTGCGAGATGAGGAAAAACTTAGTCAAAAGAAATAAAAAGTGCTAAAAGAGAGAGAGGAAGAATGAGGAAATGGTGAGATCCAGTATAGCGTCGTTTCCAGTCTGGACCTACTTCAGTCAAAATTGTTTGACGTGACAGTCGGCGACTAGGCATACGTAACACATGTCCCACCCAGCCATCTCAATCGATGAAGGTTCACAACCTCGTCAACCGACTTACCTCTTCTCCCTAAAACTCTACGTCTGGCTTCTGCATTACTCACGTGGTGACATCACGGAATACGGCCTATACTACGAAGGCAACGGTGGTCAAATACCTGAAGCCTTCTCATGTCTCCTACTTTCAATGTTTCACAGCCATGCAGTAGGACAGAGCACACTGCTGTGCAGTTCATGCAACCCTTAATAGATAAACGGATATTACGGCCACACCATAGGTGGCATAATAAACGATTGGTGATTTCTTCTAATTGATAGGTTGCGAATTAGGAATCTGTCGTTTTACACCTACAACACTTCTATGTACGACAGTGGAAATTGATCACTTGAATACTATTCCCACATTACTGAAATGACAGAAAACAAAACTGCGAACTTGAAATTTTCTCATAAATGGGTAAACATTTACTGAACCAATAACTGCCAAATATAATACAGAGAAATTGACATCTCAGTTATTGTTTAACAGTAAACTAATGAAATATCAAGGTTAAGAACGAATATTTAATCCACATTTTGTTTGAAGAAAATTAACCAGTAGTTTGTTTTTCTGTTCATTCTAACAACGACACATTCAATGTACTAATTACAGTATCTCGTGCGTAGCTGTTCATACCATACCAATGAAAATCAATGGGTAAACGTATGTGATATCACCTTACTGTATGCAACACCACAGCCTGTCGTGTATTAACTATTGCAATTGTGATTTCATTGAATCGAGAACTTTTTATCCAACTTATACTTCATGGGTTCCAAATCGTTCAAGATGCAGGCAACGACACTGCATCCAAGTCACACTTTAGATGTCTCTCATGAACCTAGTTTTTAAGTTACACTGTAAAACGCCTTAAACAGTGTTTGTGGAGAATACATGTAGCTTAGGGTGCGGATGTCCTCTGTAGGCTGGGATTTTTAGCTCATCAGCGTTCGAATATTATGCTTGGCAGTTTTAATCTATAGTCTGACCACCAGAATCTATAGTGTTTCTGTGCAAATGGTTAATTAAGGTATCTTATTCTAGCTAGCGAAAATCATTTCTTATTGACAATGGAATTGTGAGAAAAATGGATGATTACTATCCGGGATTCAAAGTTATACACGTAGCAAGAAAATTGCTTTGGTAATGTAAGGCCAACAATGGCAATCAGTTATGCTCAAAGATTTCTACATTGATTTTGCCTTGCTGTTCAAAAACCTTGATGTCATATCCGTTTCTGCCATTACTATGGCTCTGAAATATTTTGGGTTCCAATGAGAAACTTTCACTTTTGTAAAAAACAACAATTGGTTCAATGGGAAATTATGTCTTGAGTTCAGATGTATACAAAAACTCGATTAGCCTTTGCCCTCTGATGCCAATTACGGTAACATATCCGATTGCTTACTAAGAGTAGAATGTAATGCTCAATAGTTCCCTTTTTTCTAATATATGACTCCTGAATATGATCATTAGCGTTGGGGGTGTAAGAAGATTCCAGATGTTCGGTCACCGTTGTCTTTGTAGCATCAGTCACATGATTGACATCGAAGTCAGTTGTAGTCCTGAGTTATACCAGTAGGTCACGTGGTGTGGTTGTTATACCCTCATCGATTGAGCTGATTGACACTTGTTCTACCCATTCTTAGTCACCAGCTACTCTGACCTGCTGTGTTAGCTTAGTTAGAGCGTAGTTGAAAGAAAGCTAAGAATCGCCAAATTAATAAAAATGTCATCCGTCTATGATGTCCCTTTCCATTAGTGTATACCGTCTGCAGAAATGTAGACGCTTTCAGGTTGGGTGTCTCTGTGACACCTGAAGCTGATGACTGAAGACTCTAGAAGAAATAGTTCTGAATCGATCTCAGGTACATAGATGTATCCACGCTTTATCTTCATCTTAGCTGTTATATCATATTTCATTGTTTACTTCAACTCGTTTCCTCATACTATACCTTTCTACCACTTTAGTAATAATAACGGTAATAACTTTCATTCTGAAAGATATTTCGGGAATACTGTACACAATTTTCAGTGTATTACTTCTACATCTTTCATCTGATTACTTTGTATTTTGATATGTTGATTTTGGGTGTGGCAATTTGAACGATAACGCGGTAATTCCAGGTGTCATACTAATATTTACTGAATAATAAGTGAGAGACTTGCAAATCTGAACTGCTGCATAGTGAAAAGCCTCTGATATAAGTGAAAAATAATCTCTTAAGGTTAAGAGAATGAGGTAAGTCTGGGTCTTCTGAATACTTTGAGCAGAAGTCAAAGTGTGATATTTCCCCACTTTCATAGTGATCAAGCTTAATAAGATGGTAAATGATTGGTTTTCATTGACACCAAGTTTAAATTTAGTGAGTGTTATTGTCGGGTGACTTTAAAGCCACCCTAACAACGATCGAAATAACCAATCAGGTGTTGATATTCCGGCTAAAAATGTGATTTTCATAAAATATGGAAGCGTAATTAGTTATCTCAGCAATTGCTAGGGTGGCCTTTCAAGTCGCTCTTATTGTCGGATATATTTACCGCTTGGCTTACTGAAGAAATTACATCAAATTCGGTAATTAAATAACTAGCGAAATCTTGCAAGGACTCAAAAGTCTTGTCACACATTTGCTATTTTTATCCGTGGTAAAATATCCGACTACTTATCGAACGGTTTATTTTGTGTTGCTGTACACACGTGGAAGATGACTATCGAAGGTGGTCAATATTTTTGGGTTACATTTTTATGATAACAGTTGGCGCCAATAAACAACCATATATTACGGAAGTGCAGTGAGAAGATTTGTGGTTATACGTACATTTCTCGATAAGAAGATTGAATTAGTTGATGAAGTTGTAGAATCCAGGGTAACTTAAATGATTAAAGAATATGTCACACTTAACCACCGTCTTTCTTGATGTAGAATGTTTGTCAAAGTAGGATTTAGTTGAAAAACACAACGTTGTAGCAGGAATCGTTAGGAATCTATAGTTATGTGGTTCGAAATCGGTCACAATGATAAAAATAATTTCACTTTTTATCTACCTGATTCTGAACATCTTATTTATCTTTACTCCTTGTTCTGTCTCAAATCTTTTTGTCTACTTTAATATAATTCTGTTTCTGTGCTGTTGTGAAGTATGGTTATTTTCACCGGTACACTTTTGTACAAGGTGTTAGGTTGGTCCTTATAACTCTTGATAGCAATCCGTGTAAACTTCTAAAATCGACATTTCAGTTTTTGCTAAGCATAACTAAGTGCGCTTACATACTAAACATATTTGGATATTCTTTTTTACAGCAAGTGTGTCTACTCAGTATGCTCCACTAGTTAAAGGTGTGAAAAATATCTCGTTCGACCCAACAAACCAACCCGCCCCATCTGGTCCATTGAGGCCTGAGGAGCTATTGGTTGCTGTTCATTTGTTAGAATTCGCTAAGGATCCTGCAGCACAGTCACAAAATGAAGGTGAGTTTTCTGTTATTTATTGGCCTCGGTATACTTCAATTCTGTTGAGTTTTGATAAATTGCAGCTGTTATTGTCGTTTAGGTTGTACGTATAATGATCTAATCTTTAAAGTATACCCTAATCTATGATGCGTTATAAACAGTGGTCAAGTTTCATACGAATTACTATTACTATTATTATTGATTGGATCCCCTATAAACTGAGAAAATGAAAAAGGTTCAAGTATTTGGCGTTTTACTGTATCGTTCATCTTGATGCCTTAATGTTCTCGTTTGAGGTGTGGTAAATTAGATCGTTACACAGTAATTCTAGGTCCCACGTTAGAGTTGGCAGACTGGCGACTTTTCAACCCAGATGATGTGGAGATTACTCATATCTGTAGCATATTTAATACTTTATAATCTGATCAGTGCAACTCAAGAACTCGTTTAGTAGGTTGTGAGCCACACCTCTAATATGTGAAGGTTAGTGTTACTAATTATCTAAATTTTTATAAATGATACAGAGTTTCCACCCCTTATCATATTGATTGAATGTAGAACACTTAAGCTTATGATCTACATTTTTGCTTATTCTGCTCTAACCAGTAACTGAATATCCAAAGCTTGTAATGCAGGTAAACCGGATAGCCTACACAACAAAAGTTTGTGTCATAAAATCTTCAAATATTCAGTGCATGCCATCAGAAGCATTTAATGATTAAATTGTTGCTGTTGTTTAGCACACATGCTGTTTATCATGGCTAAAATTTTAGAAAATAGCGTCATCTGATTCAAAGCCAACTGAATATGAATTATAATTGAAATGCTGTAAAGAACAATACCTTGAGCAAAAAATTATTTCTTCTTGTTATTTAAATGTATTTTTTTGTGAAAGAGTGAAGTGATTGAAAGATGCGTTATGCATAGCCAACATCAGTTATTATTGATTGCAAAGTAGGTTTGAAGTCCCAGTAATGAGAACCGATACCAGTACTTTTATTTTATTGAGGAATATATGCTTAGTAGATGACCGTTTCTAGTATAAATGGATAGACGTTAATGATAGATCATTGTTTTTTTTTACAAATTATTATCGCTGGTTTCTGTGTAGTTGCCATAAGGACTTTTATCACACGTAAATTGAATGGAGTTAACAACACAGAAAGCGTTATAATTGCTTATCGGCCCAGGTTACTCCACTTCTTATTGCTAAAAGGGGAGCTGCATTGACAAATATAAAGCAAATGAAATTAGTGAGTTAATAGTAACGAAAAAAAACGAATAACAAACGAAATGGAATTTTTAAAAACATCGTTAGATGTTTAAAGCTTCGAAGAAAATGGGGCGTAAATGAATATTTACTTGTGTGTAATTGATTTAGAACTGTGGTGATTCATTTATTGCTTATATTTTTAATACTGATATGTCCTTCAACGTGCTATCATCGTTTCTCCTGTCACTTACCGATTAATTTCTGCTTTTTTAGTTGTCTTCAAATCCCTGAATATGGAAGAAATACGATGTTATAGACAACATATTTATTAGCCGAGTAAAATAACCTATTTCAGGATATTCTGACCACAGATTTCATACTATATCGTGTGAATTAGTAGCATCATATATTCAAACACAATGTGACTCAGAGTTCAATCTGCTTCTGTAGATTGTCAATCTTGCTTGCCTACTGCTGAGTTTAACATCATATTGTTACTTACGATAAATTATCTTAGAATAGCAGAAAATCGCTGTTTACTTGTACAACCTTAGTAAATCTTTAATTAACTTATCCGAAATCTATTTCACCAGAGAGATGAATCTGTGTTAGTGAAATCGACAATACTTTGGGGGCAATTTCACGTTCTCATTCTGAAGACTGCAACACAAATGTCTGAAGATTAACTTTTGTTTTAACAATAACAATAATTTGATGTGATGTTAGTGCTTTCTTATCTGCATTTACTTTTCATTTTCGTCTAACAACAACCAAATTTTTTGATCACCGTTAAGTTTGATATTCTTTTTTTTTCTCCAGGCAAACCTGCTAAACCTTATGTAAATCTCCAATCTATACTTCATGCATGCCGTGTCTGTTTCGCTGAACGTCGATTATTTACGCAAGAACGTTTATCTGTTGCGATTGGCCAACTGTTGGAGCAACCTGTTTTACCCACCCTATTTATGCGTACTGTTATGCAAGCGTTAGCTTTACATCCTCGATTGACTGGTTATGTAATCAACGTATTAGTTAGATTAATTCGTAAACAGGTTTGTATATTGTTTTTTTGATTCCATTAGTTAAAGTTTAACAACGTCTGTTAGCTTATTACACTAAATATGTAACTCATCATTTGGATAGATTCATTCCCCTGCTATTCCGTAACCGTATACATGACCGTTTAGTGGAGAATGAATTACACCTATTATGTTTGGGGTAATGATATTACCCTTTGATCGCATAGACAATCAGTAGGTGGAACTGGACTTGTACGTGTGACAGTGTTTGCATATCATGTGTTTTAATCAGTCGTTTGTAGTTCTAAAAACAGTGTCCTCACTTCGCTTGGTGGCCAATTTGTAAAACCTGTTTTCGGCAGACTTCGATAGATGCTTACAACTCAGGATTCTAGATATTGGTTACCCACTGGTAACCCATTTGTAAATATTTATAACAGTTAACACTGTATTGACTCTGGTTTTCAGTGTTTTCCACCCAGATTACTAGTACTTGGCTTGTGAAAGAGGGATTGTGCATTACTGCGTAACAGCCCAAGTTGCTACACCTTATATCAGCACATCAAGCGAAAAAGCAATAAGATGAAAGATAAGGAAGTAGAGAATAGAGCAGTTTAGGTGGTAAAAAGTTGTTGTGTGATAACAAGGAGGAATAAGAGATACTGGGTTCGGTATGACGGTTAAGATGAGGATAATGTGTGGATACATCTGCGCCACTGAGATTGATTCCGAGCCATGTCACCAAGATTCCCCAACTACTGGTTTCTTTTGTCACATGGACCCCGACCGGGAAGTTAGCGTTTCCCTACACATCTCAGATCAACAGATTTGATACAGTAATGCCATGATTTAGTCTTGGTGCCTTTTACCTTTTTCCAGCTCCAACCTACTTCAGCTAACATTATATGACAGAGCGAATGGTGATTAGACATGCATAAAACATGTTCCAGCCACCTGAGTTGATGAAGGTTTATAACGTCTTCATAGTGCCTAGCATATCTACGGGTGTTCGTGTACAGAGTCTTCAGCAGTGATTTACTTACTCGGCATCCCTTTCAGTGAGGCACGTTGCCTTAAGATCTATCGACCAACAGAGCTAAATGTCAGGTCAATAAATTCAGGGAGTGTCGGGCATTGGTAAATGTGCCTGTGATCTAGAACCTGATTGAAAGTGAATATCTGGTCGATCCATTCACAGCCAAGTCTGAAGCCTATCTGGTTTTTCTGTTCTCCATTGCTACTCAGGCGTCTATTGGTTATAGAATTTAAAATCTTTGAGACTATATTCGTCAGGTCGATTCCTCTGTGGTTTGCACGAGAGGGCTTCTCGCCTTTCTCGAAGATTGGGACAATCAGTGATTGAGACCAATTAGAGGCGATCATATTTGACTCCATACAAATATTCAAGCTTTAGAAAATGTCGAGGAATGAATACATCTGCGCCATTGTGACCTATTTTCAGGCGTCACCAAGAGTCCTCAACCACTGATTCTTTTCGTCTTGCGGGCCCCAACTAGGTAGTCGGCGTCTCCCAAAAAGGCTCATTCCAGCGGTCAAGTACTTCATGCTCTGGTACCATGTCTTGGTCTAACCACCTTGAAACCTCTTCTAACCTAGTCCAACTTCTCTTACAATGGCATGTCGAGGTAGGCGGTGACTCAGCATGCCCAGTACATGTCCAAGGCATCTTAGTCGACAAGACCGCGAGAACTGGCCATTGAATCTCCAAAAACGCAAAGGATGAATTTCGCTATATTGGGCGGGTGAAGTTAAGTGGAAAACCGCACTTGGGTCCTGTATGCATGTCTCACAAACACATTACATATCCACAGTTCGAGATAATAGAGTTTTGGCTACTGAAGCTTATTAATTGATTTAACGGGGAAGTATGGAAATTGGAAGCTCCATTGTGTGGTCTGGAGCGCAGTTTTCGGAAACCAGTTGTGCTGTTCACTGAACTCAGATCGTTGTCAAAAACTGCACAGCCGGAAGAAACTAAAGATAATGTAGGAATGTTGACAGAGAGAAATGTAGGAAGATGAAAAGCTAAAAATGTAGGATTTGGACAATGATCTAAAGGAACTCGAGTGCTGACAGAATTGTGAAAGCAGCTGACACTTCCTGGCTTCCCACACAGTGAACGACTGATTCTTTTTGAGGTGCCTGAAAAAAGTTAGTGTGTGGCTTCAGATCTCAAGGGAAATCTGCTTAAGGCCGGCCACGCACGATCGTTTTATAATTTTGAGATTGATGTTCGTTAGCTTCGAACTTGAATCTGAACCAATATTGCCGGCACTCTAAGACCGCAGGTGAAAGAGGAGTGCGCTATTTATAGAGCGAACCCTTTACAGCCCCCAGACATTTTTATAGGCAAGTCAGTGTCAGCATGGTATTAGTGGTCATCTGCGGGAAACATTTTACTGCTGTCACATCCCATCTGGTCAACAGTACGGCTTCAACCTTGGACCCACATCATCGCACAGCAATTCCTACTATAACGGTAACTGCTTTTCGTCTTGCCACTGTCCAACTTACCCTCCTAGTATGGTAGAACCTCTAGAGGACAAGCATTTCACCTGCGTTGCTCTCTTGGTCATTGTGATATGCTGGCTAAACCACTAAGTCAAGAGATGATGAGTCTTGAAGAGATTCAAGTAAGTTTTTGAGATTTATTTTTTGGTTAGATCAGTTGAATTAAATGATATTTCTGAATCATTTGCACGCAAAACAACCCGAATTCTTCGCCTAACTGATTTAGTGTTTATCATAATTTTCAATGTTAAAACAGGTGTGGAAAAGTGAAAAGCTATGGGATGGATTTATCAGGTGTTGTGCTAAAACCAGACCACAGAGTTATCAAGTTCTGTTACAATTACCGCCTGATCGATTGGAAGCTGTATTTCAACGGGAAACAGCTATGCGAGGCCAAGTTAAACGTTATGTGGAGAATTTCTCTTCAGCTCAGGTAAGTATATATTCCTCTAACCCCAAACAATTTTTCTCACCCTTGCTAATTGTTGTACTAAGCACTATATGTGCTATAAGCTATAGCTATATAGTGCTATAAGCACTATATATATCCCATGATTTGGAACCACTTATCCGTTCATGTTTCCATCAGCTGTAAACTGGCATACTGATCAGTGAAAAACGTATAGTAAATAACTCAGTGTTGAATCACTCGTAGTCTATCTCTTGTTTGATCTACATTCATTTAGAATCGTTCCCTCTGAGATGGTTTACGTTTTTACAAATGATCATTTCTACATAATAGTAGGGTAAAAATTCTCACTTCAATACCATTGTGTCAGTAGGTGCTAAGAATGAAGTAACCGAGTGAATAATAATAATAACACGATAAAACACCTGAACTGGATATGAATAGCGACTGTTATCCCTCGAACTTGATACTTCACTGAGTCGCAAAAATCAAGAAGACAAAGACCGGCCAGTGACCGTAAGGAAGACACTTTATTTAACAGAAATACATCATTTGTATACAATTTTCATGAACATATAAAAGCACTAGGTCAGAAGTTGGATATTTATTTCGATTGATTAACTGTAGAACAAAGTTGTCCAGTAGGGTTTTTCCTGACCAGTCAGTAATATAAAACAAAAGTCAGAATCCAAAATTTCTACTCTAGCTGCTGGTGACTTAAAATGTTGATTTCCATTTAAACCGCTCCCTATTAAAAAAAAATAAAAGTAAAACAACAAAATACTACAAATTATAGCTGATAGTATCTATTTACCAACGTCCACTTTTGATATGGAAGCTAACCAGTAAATACTGTTAGCTTTTTATACCTTTTTCCTTCTCATAGTTTGTGTTTATTCATCAAATCTTGAGAATAGTCAGTGGTGTTTTGTACGCCTACATACTTGACTGTACTACAACAGAAAACCATTCATTGCATACATATCAGTTTATCATCTGTTTTTGTAATATGCGCGCTTTTCACTGTCACTATCCAACTACTTTTTTGAGAATATTAACTTGTTTAAGATTTATACTAAATGTTAACTGTTTTTATTTTTAGCGTATTCATATATCAAAAGCAATTGTTGAAGTTCTAGAACGTCTGCCAACTCCTCCTCGTGTACCAACACCTGAGATTCAATCTAAACTGAACGGTGATACAGCAGAAACTGAAGGCCAAAATCAGACTGTATCTCCAGGAAACAGTCCATCTTCATCCGGTCCAGGTACACCAACACGTGATGAAATGCCCCATTATGATGCACCACCATTTATGACTGCTGCAATGTTTGTTCAGCAAACTCCTAATCCCGCTATCAATATGATGTCATCATCTCAAGAAACTTCATCTCTCATGCAATCCGGTACTTCTGTTATCGATAACCAATATCAAATTCATCCATTTACTGCATCAAATCCTATACAACAGATAGGTTCATTTAATCCAACTTCTACTAAGCCAAATCTTATCACATCTTTGCCGCCGTTATCATCTAGACAACAAAAGGCTTCATCATGTGGTCTAACCAACAATATAAATACTTCCAATATACCTGGTGATCCTGAAGTTGATCCAACTATGGAGGATCTTTTTGAAGCTGATTGTCAAAACCAATCACCGTCCCCATCATCACCACGAGCACCGTTGATGGATGAATACGATATAATGAATCATTCACCACCTCAAATCACAATGGATGTATCGCATCAGTTGAAGAAACATCTCAAATCAAAACCATCTTTAGTATTACAAGAAATTGAAAATGATGCATTGGATTTTGAAGAAAACTCTGGTAGGTATCAAGTTTATCATTTTTTTTCACCTATATTGTCCTAGTTTTCCTAATCATTTGTCTTCTCTCTTACTGACGATAGCAGTAATATTACAACGATCTGCAGTGCCATGTACAGGCACATAGACTACAACGATTATATATGGACTATGGCACTAATTATTTATTCAAACCGTTGGTATAGGGAATTCGATTCGAACGCATAGCGGTGGAATGTCTAAATTAATGATTTTTGTTATAATTCATAATCTTGATGTCTTCGTCATCAACTTTGTTAAAGATGAAATATCTGAATAATTGTCAAACACTGAATTTCGTTGTTCAGCATTTGGTTATTCCATTGGTGATTGAAGACTAACAAAGGTTTCAATTTCGTTGTTAATAACGGTAGAGAAACTCCGTTCACATTTCTTAGAATCTCTTAGTGAACAGTATTTATTTTATGCATGAAGTATAATTTCAAGCAAGTGGTTGGTTAAGAATATAATCCTTGATGGATCATATTGTTTGAGATAAACGTTATAAATGTGTAAATACCACCTGTCTCTCCATCCATTCAAAGTACTTTGAGTATAAGTAAGATATAAATCGTTTTCAGATCGTCTAACCAAGATATTTTGGCCCAAGTCTTATTAGAAATTGTGTCTTTGAGACAGTCAAGGTCAACTATTGAAAACTAGACGATACAACTCCAAATAAATATGCATTCATGCCTCGTCTTCCTTTCAATCTTGTTTATCATATTGTTCTGTAATTTCTATTATGTGTTTACTTAACCTACTTACTTTTTTCATCTCAGTTTTTTCTTCGATGCCTTTTATTATCATTAGGTTGCATCGTGTCCCTCTATTTCTTTATCAGTATAAAGTATGATATTTTTTACCGATGGGTAATTGCAGCAAATAGTATAATGGTTCTATACATCCTTGTTGGCTATTGCTCATAACAGAGTCTAGGTTTGTAAGTAAAATAATATGAACATTGAAAGAAAAAAAGACATTTATAGAATAAAATGAGCTCATTTTATTTTATTGCCTTTCATCAGCTGCAAGCAGCCTACAATTGAAATGAAGTAGTGGTAAAAGTAATGGCATAACGTGCATTAAATATGCAGAAATAAATGAAGATTTGAAATCCAGGATTAACAACAAGATAGTGAGTCTAGGAAAGACATGACTATTAATCGCAAATCTTAGCCAAAATCAATGGCAGTTTATACCTGACGAGATAGAAAACTCCGGAGTTGTGGAAAAAGGAGCGGGGGGGGGGGGGCGTGGGCGACAAACATAAAGGAGTGTCAGAGAAAGTGTTGTTAAAGAGCTAATAGTTTACGTAATGACATGAAAAAAACTGCAAAATCGTTAAGTGATTACCAAGTAGTAAGTAACTTATAGCAGTAAGTTCATAATTTGAAGCCTACGGATAACAGTAGAAGAAGCTGATCGTTATTGCCAACCAGTTTTGCATATCTCCATATCAGCAGTCTGAGACCCTGACTAAGGAGCATATTTTGGCACTGAAAAAGCTGCACAAGAATGACGAAGTCGTTATAACTATAGCTGATAAGCGATCAGGTGTCGTCATAATGAATAAAAATGAATTCCCATTGATTTTGACTAAGATTTATGATTCATAATCTTGTCTTTCCTAGACCCACTATCTTATTGTTAATCCTGGATTTTAAATCTTCATTTATTTCTGCATACTTAAAGTATGTTATACCAGTATTATTACCAATACTTCATTTCAATTATAGGCTGTTTGAAGCTGATGAAAGGCTATGAAATAAAACGAACTCTGTGAATGTCTTTGTTCTTGCATTGCTCAAATTTGTCAAAGGAACTGAGTGTATAAAATAGTATGATTGTCAGTGTTTTGTGTATTAGATTTGGATCGTGCTTTCGTTTTACCGTATCGCAATGTACTCTTGATACTTATTTCTTTTCGGTTCTCTTTTTCTGAGTTTCTGGAGCTGGGACTCCAAGCATTCTACTTTTAACTAACCCAATATAGGGTCGAACTACGCCCCATTTACCAAGGTTTGGTCAACTGAGTAGTGTCGTCTGGTCTCACACGATAGGTGTTTCCCACTACGTAACGTAAAACGTGTGCAATAATTTGCAACATGGACCAGTAACCTCCAAGTTACCAACTTTGCTCTCTACCGACTGAGCTGCAGGATCCTATAGGTGAACAGTTTTTACTTTTGCGTGCATCACCGAAAGTTTTGCTCAGCGGCCATCTGAAAAATGCAATCTTTAAATATCCGCTCATCATCATCACAATGAATCTAGTTGCAAGTTAACTGTTTTTTGCTTAATATCTCGATAATATTTAGTAATTAGTGAAAACTTTATGGGGAACCAATTTTATGCTGAGTTTTCAACCATTCAGCAGTGTAAACGTTTCACACATTTATGGTTTCAATCTCATTCGATGCATTCTTTAACTGATTTACTACGCTACATAATGGTTCTTATGTCTATAGATCCGCTAGTTGATCCCGATACATCATATTCACAATTTCATCATGGAAGCCTTGGCGAGGACAGTGATGCTGATATTACTACAATTACTTATAATAATCGCAATGAGGATGATGGTGAACCACCCATACTTCCTGCTTCTCGTATTGATCCTGTTACTAGTTTGAAACGTTGGCGTGAAAGTGAACACAAAGAAGATACTTCCAAGTTACCAGTTGAAGAATGGAATAAGCAGTTAGATGAGAAGAATCAAGAGCTTTCACAATATCATTCAGGTTCCGGTGTCGGTGGCAATACTACTAGTAGTCGACCGAAGCGTCCAGTCGATTTAAACAAGTTGGAAGCTGATAGGGTAGTTAGATGTTGTATTTTCTTTTCCAAACTAGTTTTTTGCCTAACTATTATTATTACGGTTATTATTACAGCACTCCTGCCGTATGAGACATTGATCTAGACACCGCTGATGCAAGATGATAGCAAAATTAACTGACTATCTATTTTGTTAACCTAATATTCTGTAGTCGACGCTTTGAAGGCATTGTTCATAGCGAAATGGTATAGTCTTGTTTGATTTGCTTTTCTGGAGATATATATTTTTAAGAGTCATTTAGAAGAGCACTATTCCACGCTTAGAGATTGTTTAGTTGTGCACAAAAAGGTCCAGCTGATTGAAAATGTTTTATATATATATATATATATATATATATATATATATATATATATATATAAGCTGACATCTAATGGATAAATGAGTGTAGCGTATGATTCCCCTCCTGGCCCCTTTTTATTTTGCCGGATCGGTTTCCTGATAGTGTACTCCGTAACCCGCGAATGTGTTATGCAACGGAGTTCACTAAGGATCTGGTAAAACAATGATGTTGTTAGTAGGTGAAAATATCAATGGAAGATCTTTTAGAGCAAATTGGGAGAAACTGTATGAATAATTAGAAATGTACACAGCGAATGCATAACGTGAGTATCATGGTTCGCAGTCACATTGTCTGTAGAACAAAACATAAAATGAGTCAGTATTATCATGAGTTACAAGTCTTTAGTGGTATTGTGTTTTCCAGCTATCCGTATTAGAAGTCGTATGTAGTAATCATTTTCTTAGACTATGAATTATTCCATTGTATTTTCTCAATTTGTTACTAACCTGTATCCATTTGATATTGTTACTGTAACTCAGTAGTTTAAGTAACTTTGGGTTGGAAACTCATATTGTTTTATCAGTTGTGACACAATAGACACAATAGTCTGCAGTTTTTCCCCAGAAATTTATTAGCATCCTACTTGCTGAGTGGTATTCAATGCCTTGCCGGTAAATGTGTTCTACACTACCGTATTATAACCATCAGTCCTTGTATTTTGATTTATTTTTCTAATATTCTTCATGAAATCTATGTTTAATGTCAGATTTTACAGTAAGATCACACATGACGCGCTATTAAATTGTTCATTTTATCATGTGTGTATTCACTCTAGTTTAATATTACCCCCCATCTCAATAGTTTGTTCCTCTCCTATTTTCTTCCTGAAACATTTAGAAGCGTCTAGAAGAAGAGGCAATCAAATATAAACAGTTAAAGGCTGAAAGAAAATATCATCAACACCGAAAACAGCAACCACCTCCATCTGGTTCAACGGGATCCGAATAACTGTTGATAATGTTATCCTCCTACTTCTACTTTCAACATAACTGTGAACACAATACACATTCAATATTTTGTGTTCATTATGTGTTTTGTAAATCTTGTGTATGTATGTGCATGTCTGTTGTATTGGTTAAATAATTTCTACAAAACTTCATACGAATATGCACATACTCATTTTTTTGTTGTTATAGATTGATGTAATGAAATGTTTATATGTATGTATATATAAACTTCCTATTTGATGCTATGACGACTAACGTTATGTACAGTGTATGATTATTCGAAGAATAATTGGAGAGAATTCTTGTCACTTTTGTTGTCCACAGCAAGTTTTTTAATTTCAATATCGGTGTTAGATGTTTATTTGTATACAAATCAGAATTCTACACAATTGTATAGCCAGCTATCTATAGCTGAACTGTCATAATTGTGTGTGTGTAGAGGGTTGTTACTTTAACCTGTCTATATTGATGTGATCGTTGAGTATGCCTATTCTAATAATTCAGTCAAGCTATATTAGATAGAAAGATTGCTCATGGGGTACTTTTTTTTCCAGCAATTTTGATCGAATGTGGTAACAGGGATGCTACCTTAATCAGGTGTTTCCTTCTGGCGATCAGCTCTGCAAATATGCAGCTTTCCTATTTGTGAAAGGAGGAAAGGTCAGTCCTGAGGAGTGGGTACTGTTTTCTCTCCTGATTGTTCATCACCGGTGGTGACGTTCTATGAAAAACAGACACAACGGTAACGGTGGTAAGTTGTTTCCTTTGGATGACCAGCAGTGCCATGCTGATGCTGCCAACTCCATATGGGAAGTAGGTTTAAAGAAGATAGGCCCTAAAATAGTACATTCCGCTCTACCCCGCGGCATACCGATGCCGGCGATATAGGTTCAAAGCCGGATTTGCAAAAAACTATCAAGCATTTTAAAAGGTCGTTTGTGACCGGCCTCAAACAGGTATCCATTAGGTTCTGCTGTCACACGTCAACCTCTCTTTATTAGGTACCTTACGTAGAACCAGCCTTCCATGTTATGGGCAGCCGGGAAGTATCAACCGCCGGCTCACTTCCAGTAGTACACAAGACCCAATCACTCATTGCCTTTCCTCCCCAGATTTATCTTCTTTGCCTCCACGTTCTAATATTAATATTACACCTTTTACATCTTCCCCAACCTCTCACTATACAACCGTTACCAACAATCACAGCCATTGGAACACCATTCCGAATCTTTTAAGACCCTGGCATCGATTTCGTGTAGGAGCTTTCAGCGTCTGAACTCTATGGCCAAATAGGAAAGCAAGCATCGCTCGCCAGATGGCGTCATAATAGCAGGTGATTTTTGCTTTCGAGCAGGGAAGTTGAGACAGTCAGAAAGGCATCTAGGAGGTATTTACGGAATCTCATGCCAATGAGCGGGCAATGGTGATCGTCTGTTGCAATTTTGTCCCGACAGTCATACGTTCTTGGCCAGCACTAAGTTCAAACGTAAGCGGATAGACACTGTCTCACATGGAGTCTACTGACATCAAAACAACGATGGATACACATAGATCACCTTGCTATAAGTCATCGGTGGACGATTGCTGCTGTTTCAGGAGTACCAGTTCGGATTCATGCGATGGTACGATCACGCTTATTTTTGTGTCCTAATGGTTCCAGATAACAGGCGTCAGTAAAGCCTGTCTGAGCTCAACTAGAAGATAAGAACGTGAAGTACGTATTTAGTGAGGAGGTAGCTAAGCGCTTATCGGAATGTGACAAAAATACTCATTCTGAGGGGACTTGACGGGATATTGAGCCTGCTGCAGAGACAGTTGGTAGCCTTAGTCCTAAGGTTAGCAGATGTCAGTGTATTTCCAAAATGTCATGGTAGCTGGTCGATGCGAGAAGACTGATTGCAGCTGGCTATTACTATAATGAGGAGCTAGGGTAGCTGGACTTAAATTAACTAAGCGTCTTCGTAATGATTGCGAACAGGGGTGGATAGCAAAAAGAAGAGGGATAGAGAAGGCATCAGCAATTATTTAGGCTACTGGCAGGAAGACAATGGTCAATGAAGCCACCATCGAAAAGGGTGGGATGCTGATAACGACTCAGGACAGGTGACTGGAACATTTGACGGAAAACTTAACCACGGTATGATTGGCCCTCATCAACGCTTCAGTTGCCTGACAACCAGCCGGCTTGAATGTGAATGGGGTGTAGATGTTGGTCTTCCAAATTCTGTCGAAATTGAGATGGCCGTTTCTAACCTAAAACTATGCAAAGCAGCAGGATTTAACGGTTTGTTACCTGAGATTTCCAAGCATGTAGGTCAGAAGTTACTGAGTAGAGCAACGGGCTTACTGGATAGCGTATGGGAATTCGAGGTATTCTGCTGAGATTGGTCTACTTCACTAATCATCCAAATCTGCAAGATGGGAGAGTAGCGTTCTCCTGACACCCATAGGAGGATCAGTTCTTATTTAGTTGCATCATACATTTTTTGATGGACATACACTTACGGAACATCTGACTTCACAGGGATCGATCTACTCCCCGGAAGGTATGTGTTTGATTCGGAGTACGTAGGGGACATTGTTCTCCCATTTGAAGACGGTGACAAAATGTGGGGTCTTCTGAATGTGTCCAGCAGAAATCTGAGTACGTTTTGTTTCACACTTGTGAAATTCAGGATGATGCTTCAGGATTGGTCTGCAGCTACATTCCGGATGCTGACCAGATTCTAATTTCGCTTTGTGTGGCTGCCATGTGAATTCGTGATGCGTCAATATCACCCGATCGTACTCACTGACTGCCTAGTCAAGCGATATTAACGCTTCATGAATTCACATGTTAGCCAGAGAAAATCCTTAGTGATCGGAGGGAAATTAAAATCTGGATCTCATAGCTTAGTTGGTGGAACACTGAGCCAGTAACCTGGAAGTCGCTGGTTCGAGTCCTGCCGATCACTCAATCAATATCAACATAGGACCAGGCATTAATGCGTAACGGTCCGAGTTGCCACAGCTCATATCACTACATCAAGTAGAAAGGTAGTGAGGTGAAGATAAGAGAATGCAGTCAAATGAAATATAAAGTACGAGAAGAAAGAAAGGAGAAATGAGAAAATGGTGAGATTCGGTATAGCGTCGTTAAGATGAGGATAATGTGTGTATACATCTGCGCCACTGACATCGGTTCTCAGCCATGTGACCACCTACAGTCTCCAACCACTGGTTCCTCTTGTCCCGCCGGCCCCAACCGGCTAGTCTGCATCGCCCTATATGGCTTAAATCAACAGTCAGAGACTTCATACATTTGTGCCGTGTTTTAGTCTGGCCACCTCGGGCCTTTTTCCAGTCTGGACCTACTTCAGTCAACATTGGTTGACGTGACAGTCGGCGACTAGGTATACGTAACACATGTCCCACCCAGCCATCTCAGTCGATGAAGGTTCATAGCCTCATCAACTGATTTACCTCTACTCCCTAAAACTCTACGTCTGGCTTCTGTATTACTCACGTGGTCAAACACTTGAAGCCTTCTTATATCTTCCACTTTCAATGGCCATGTTTCACAGCCGTACAGTAGAACAGAGCACACTGCTGTGCAGTACACGCGACCCTTGATAGACAAACGAATATCACGGCGGCGCCATAGGTGGTGTAAATTGGCAATAGCCAGCCGAGCCTTTTGTATTTATGCAGAGATTTCATCGGCCATTGAGCTAGGCACCAGGGCTGATCCTACTTCCCAGGTAAGTGAAGTGGTCGACACACTCAACCACTTCACTCTCTATTGTTAGCCGTGGCACCGCTGAAGACCAGTCCTGGAGCAACAATCTGCATTTGGGTGATGAGAAACGCATCCCAGACATTCTCAAATTCCCACTCAAAGTGTTCAGAAGACTCTGCATCTTGTCAGCGTCTTCACCTAACAGGACTATGTCATCTGCATATTCTAGATCTAAGGAAAATTCACCTGTGATTAGGTCAACATCTGTGTAATTAGGTGACGAGAGGGAGACCTCCATAAGAATATCTATGATCAAATTGGATAAGAATGGAGACAGTGGGCATCCTTGATGGACACCACTCGATGAGTATAGCTCCCTGGGCAACTCTCCATAGGCTCTAACATGCCCACAAGTGTTCTAGTAGAGAGCTTTCAATTAGGTGATGTACTTACTAGGTACGCCTTTCAGTGACAGACATTGCCATAAAACTTCTCGATCAACGGAGTCAAATGCCGCCTTCAAGTCAAGAAATACAGCTATTGTCGGGTATCTGTAAGCGTGCCTATGTCCCAGGATCTGGCGCAGTGTGAATATTTGGTCAATACACCCGCGGCCGGGTCTAAAGCCTGCTTAGCTTTCTCGGGCTTGCTGTTCCCGAGCTCCACTTAGGCGTCGGAGAATTATAGAACCTAGGATCTTGGACACGATATTCGTCAGGCTGGTTCCTCTGTGGTTATTGCAAGAGGACTTCTCACTTTTCTTGAAGACTGGGATAATCAGTAACTTAGACCAGTCAGACGGGATCGTATTTGACTCCAATATATTAGTTAATACTTCCGTTAACCTGACTAAGAGCACTCTACCACCATCCTTGTATACCTCAGGAGTTAGTGAGTCTGGTCCTGCCACCCTTCCTCGTTTCAGGTGACCTACTGTTTTCTCGACTTCTCCTAGTGTTGGAGGACCTACCTCAATGTTCGATTCAGGATCCAACTGAATAGCGAGCAGCGCAATGGTGACCGGAGGCTAGTTAAACTCTTCCTCGAAGTGTTCTGTCCATCGTTCCAGTCGTCTACACCATTCGTGAATCGCAGATCCGTCCTTCTCCGCTATAGTCTCACTAACTGTTGTTGACCTTCCCCCCCCAGTCTCCTTAATAAGTCTAAATAACTGTCTACTGTTACCGATCGCCGCTGCCTTTTCCATCTCTTTAGCCTTTGCTGCCCACCACTGTTCACGATCGTTGCGCAGACTTTTCGTCAGTCTATTTTTAAGTTGCGCT